AAACTGGCAAAAGTCAATGACAAGAAAAAAATATTAAGGGCAGCAAGGCAGAAGAGAAGAATCCACAAAGGAACCCCTATCAGGCTTTCAGTGGATTTATCAGCAGAAACCTTACAGGCTAGGAGAGATTAGAATGATATATTCAAAATACTGAAAGACAAAAACCTTCAGCCAAGAATACTCTATCCAGCAAAATTATCCTTCAGATACGGTGGAGAAATAAAAGGTTTCCCAGATAAACAAAAGCTAAAGGAGTTCATCGCCACTAGACCTCCCTTACAAGAAATGATCAAGGATGCCCTCACACCTGAAACAAAAAGGCAAACGTTTACAAAGCATTAAGCAAGGGGATAAATAGACAGACAAAAATCAGAAAATTGCAGCTCTCTATCAGAACAGGTTAGCAAACAATAATAACATAAAAGATAAAGGGAAGGAAAGCATCAAAAATAACTATCAACACTTGATTTTAATCACAAACTCGCAACACAAAACAGAACAGTAACTTAGAAGGGGAAGAGGAAAGGGATGGAAACTACTTAGGCTAAGGAGATAAAGAGGCTATCAGAAAATGGACTATCTCATCTAGGAGGTCTTTTATACACACCTCACAGTAACCACTAAACGAAGAATCAGGAGAGAGACACAAATGATAAATAATGAGAAAACCATGATAGAAAGTCACCAAACTGAAATGGCAGTTGGAAAAACCTGGGAGGAGAAACAAGGGAAATATAGAACAACTGGAAAGCAAGAGATAAAATGGAAGTATTAAGTCCTAATATATCAATAATCACTCTAAATGTAAATATGGATTGAATTCTCCAATCAAAAGACACAGAGTAGTTGGATGGATTAGAAAACAAGATCCAACAATATGCTACCTCCAGGAAACACTTTTCAGCTTTAAAAGACAAACACAGGCTCAGAGTGAAGGGATGGAAGATGATACTCCAAGCAAAGGCAAGCAAAAGAAAGTAGGCGTCACCATCCTTATATCAGACAAAGCAGACTTCAAGATAAAAAAGGCAATGAGAGACATAGAGGGGCAGTATATAAGGATAAAAGGGACATTCCAACAAGAGGGCATAACACTTAATATATATGCACCTAACACAGGAGCACCAAAGTACACAAAGCAACTATTAACAGATCTAAAAGGAGAAATTAACAGCAACACAATAATAGTAGGGGACCTCAGCACCCAACTTACATCAATGATAGATCATCCAGACAGAAAGTCAAGAAGGAAATGGTGGACTTAAATGAAACGCTTGATCAGATGGACTTAATAGATAAATGTGGAACATTCTACCCCCAAACAGCAGAGTACACATTCTTCTCAGGTGCACATGGAACATTCTCATAGACCATATGTTGGGAAACAAGGCAAGCCTCAATAAATTTAAGAAGACTGAAATCATATCAAACATCATTTCCAAATACAATGCTATGAAACTAGAAATCAACTACAAGAGAAAAGCTGGGAAAGTGACAAATATATGGAGACTAAGGAACATGCTACTGAACAACCATTGGGTCAGTAAAGAAATCAAAAAGTACCTGGAGACAAATGAAAATAAAAATACATCATACCAACTCGTACAGGATGCAGCAAAAGTGGTTCTAAGAGGGAAATTCATAGCAATAGAGGCCCACTTCAACAAACAAGAAAAATCTCAAATAAGTAGTCAAACGACACCTAACAGAACTGGAAAAATAAGAACAAACAAGGCCCAAAGTCAGCAGAAGGAGGGAAATAATAAAAATTAGAGCAGAAATAAATGCAATAGACATAAAAAAAAAAAAAAAACCGGTAGAAAGCATCAATGGAACTAAGAGCTGGTCCTTTGGGAAGATAAACAACATTGACAAACTCTTAGCCAAACTCACTAAGAAAAAAAGAGAGAAGGCGCAAATAAATAAAATCAGAAATCAAAGAGGGGAAATTAGAATGGATACCACAGAAATACAAAAGATTATAAGAGAAAATTATGAAAGACTATATGCCCACAAATTGGAAAACCTAGAAGAAATGGATAAATTATTAGACTCATATAACTTCCCAAAAGTGAATCAAGAAGTAGAGAATGTGAATAGACCAATCACAAGAGATTAAAAGAGTAATCAAAAACTTACGAAAAAACGAAAGTCCAGGACCAGATTGCTTCTCTAGAGAATTTTACCAAACATTCAAAGAAGATTTAATACCTATCCTTCTCAAAGTATTCCACAAAATTCAAGAAGATGGAATGCTTCCTAACTCATTCTATGAGGCCAACATCAAACTGATATTAAAACCACAAAAGGACAACACAAGGAAGGAAAATTACAGGCCAATATTGCTGATGAACACATACAAAAATCCTCAACAAAATATTGGCAAACCGAATACAGCAATATGTTAGAAGGATCATACACCATGATTAAGTGGGACTTATACCAGGGACGCAGGGATGATTCAATATCCTCAAGTCGATCAATGTGATATACCACATTAAAAAAATGAAGAATAAAAACCACATGATCATCTTAACAGATGCAGAGAAAGCATTTGACGTGATCCAAAATCCATTTATGATAAAACTCTCAATAAAATGGGTATAGAAGGAAAGTACCTCAACATAATAAAGGCCATATATGACAAACCCACAGCCAACATTATATTCAGTGGTGAAAAGTTGAAAGCCATTCCTCTGAGAACAGGAACAAGACAAGGGTGCTCACTCTTGCCACTCCTATTCAACATAGAGGTTTTAGTCAGAGCAATTAGGCAAGAAAAAGAAATAAAAAGTATCCAAATTGGAAAGGAAGAAATGGAACTTTTGCTCTTTGCAGATGACATAATCCTATATATAGAAAACCCTAAAGAATCCACCAAAAAACTATTAGAAATAGCCAACTATAGCAAAGTTGCAAGGTACAAAATCAACTTAGAAAAATCAGTTCCATTTCTATACGCTAACAACAAAGTAGCAGAAAGAGAACTCAAGAGTACAATCCCATTTACCATCACAACAAAAAGAATAAAATATCTAGGAATAAATTTAACCAAGGAGGTGAAAGACCTATACAATGAAAACTATAAGATATTATTGAAAGAAACTGAAGAAGACTTAAAGAAATGGAAAGATATTCCATGCACATGGATTGGAAGAATGAACATAATTAAAATGTTCATATTACTTAAAGCAATCTACACATTCAATGCAATATCAATCAAAATCCCAGTGACATTCTTTACGGAACTAGAACAAAGAATCCTAAAATTCATATGGAACAGCAAAAAACCCTGAAAAGCTAAAGCAATCCTGAGAAAAACAGAACAAAGCTGGAGGCATCACAATCCCTGACTTCAAAATATACCACAAAGCTATGGTAATCAAAACAATATGATATTGGCACAAAAACAGACACACAGTTCAATGATACAGAATTGAAAGCACAGAAATAAAACCATGCATCTATGGACAGCTAATCTTTGACAAAGGAGCTAAGAACATACAATGGAGAAAGGAAAATCTCTTCAATAAATGGTGTTGGGAAAACTGGACAGTTACATGCAAAAGAATGAAAGTAGACCCTTATCTTAACCATACACAAAAATTAACTAAAAATGGATTAAAGACTTGAATGTAAGACCTGAAACCATAAAACTACCAGAAGAAAATATAGGCAGTACACTCTTTGACATCGGTCTTAGCAGCATCTTTTTGAATACCATGTCTACTCAGGCATGGGAAACAAAGGAAAAAATAAACAAATGGGACTACATCAAACTAAAGAGCTTCTGCAAGGCAAAGGTTACCATGAACAAAATGAAAAAATAACCCGCCAACGGGGAGGAAATATTTGCAAATCATATATCCGACAAGGGGTTAATTTCCAAAGTATATAAAGAACTTGTACAACTTAATATCAAAAAACCAAACAACCTGATCAAAAATGGGCAGATGATATGAACATTTGTCCAAAGAAGATATATAGATGGCCAACAGGCACAAGAAAAGATGTCCTACATCACTAATCATCAAGGAAATGCAAATCAAAAACTACACTAAACTATCACCTTACACCTGTTAGAATGGCTATAATCACCAAGAAAAAAATAACAAACATTGGAGACATTGTGGGGAAAAGGAAACACTCATTCACTGCTGGTGGGAATGCAAACTGGTGCAGCCACTATGGAAAACAGTATGGAGATTTCTCAAAAAATTGAAAATAGAAATACCATACAATCCAGCTATCCCACTACTGGATATTTAACCAGAGAATATGAAATCAATGATTCAAAGAGATTTATGCATCCCTACGTTCATTGCAGCATTATTCGCAATAGCCGCACTGAAGCAACCCAAGTGCCCCCAGCTGATGAATGGATAAAGAAGGTGTGGTATATACACAATGGACTACTACTCAACTATTGAAAAAAAGATGAAATCTTGCCATTTGCGACAGCATGGATTGTGCTTGAGGGTATTATGCTAAGCGAAATAAGTCAGGGAGAAAGATAAGCACTTCATGACTTCACTCACACGTGTAAGATAAGCACATAAGATAGGAGAACAGATTGTTGGTTACAGAGGGGAAGGGGCGGAAGGAGTAAGGAGGCACATATGTATGGTGAAGGATCCCAACTAGGCTTCTGGTGGCGAAAATGATGCAGTCGATGCGGAAGTCAAAATAAAATGATATACACCTGAAATTTATATAACGTTATAAACCAACGTGACCTCAATAAATTAAACTCAATAAAAAGTAAAAAAAGACAGGGCCTCTCCGTGCTCGAGATGGAGACCAAACGCTTTACAGATGCCCTAACGAGCGCTAGGCTTCCGCGCCATCGCCCAGGGCGGAGGAGGATTTTTCAAAAGGGCCGCGCCCGACCTCCCACAACAGCGGGGCGGGCCGTGGCGCCAACCAGGGCGGCCCGCCGAAGCAACCCGGAAGAGGGCGGTGTCGCAGGAGGGATGATGTAAAAAGGCGTCGCGCCGAGCGTGACGCGTGGCGTCGACGTCTAGGAGCTGCGCCTGTCAGCCCGGCGCTGGTTGCGGGGGAGGAGCAGGCGCCATGGCGGTCCTGTTGGAGACCACTTTGGGCGACGTCGTCATCGACCTGTACACGGAGGAGCGGCCGCGCGGTGAGCCCCGGGCCCCTCTTGCCTCTTGCCGAGGCCGCCATCTCCCTTCCCCGCTCTCCCTTTCGCTGCCCAGTCGCCGGCGTCGACCGCTTCCAGCTCGGGGCTGCCGGTGCCCGCGACCTGGCTGTTTTATTCGCGGGCCTTGGTTAGAAAAGTTTTTGCGAGGAGCAGCCCTTCTCCGGTATCTGCTGCTGGCCGTTCGGGTGGCGGGTGCTTGTTGTCATTAAATGACTCTGTGTGTGTGTGTGTGTGTGTGTGTGAGTGAATGTGTGAGTGTGTGAGCGATGCAGGTTGAATATACAATTCCCGTAGCTTTTCTTGCTTGTTGCACTTTACTCCTGGGAGGACCACAACTAGTATTCCTTGGTGTGTAATCAGTAAGACGTGATGAAAGCAGGGAGGATGTGCTTGGAGCAGCGAGGTGGGCATCCCGCCTGGATGGAGGAGGGGCTGTCTGGCGGCGTGCACCGAGCTCTAGCAAACACTCATCGATCGCCTGCTATGCAATCAAGACTCGGTGCCAGGCCCTGATAGGCGTCTTGCCTTTGAGAGTCTGATTTTCCATTGGGAGAAACAAACGCGGGAACCCGTTTCACTTTTCGAGTGTTGTGTTAGAAGAGTGTGTAAGTTGCCATGGAAACCAGAGGAGGGAGTAATTCTTCCTGGTTGGGGCCGGGGAGAAGGGAAGCAAGCGAAGAATGTGGAACACGAGCTAGCTCTTTCAAAGATGAGCGGGAATAAGTGTTTACTTAACAGCTTGCTTGGAATTTTCTGGAAACAGCAAGAAGTTCGGCGTGGCTTGACGGAATGGGATGTGACTTGGAATGGCAGACTGCGAGTCTGGTCGTATACGTTATATAGGTTGGGTCAGATGGTGAGTAGTCTTGTGTGCCCTACTGATGACCAGGGTCTTTGAAGGTTTGAAAAGCAGATTGAGGCATGGCACACCTGTTTTAGGAATAATAGGCAATAGTGTGGAGAATGTATCAGAGTAGGGAGAAACAGGAGGCCAGGAGAGATTAGTTATGATCAGGGTCCTCCTCCCGTGGAATGCAGAGTCTGCCAAAAAGGATGAAACAAATTACAATACCATACCGTGAGTGCCTCCTGCCAGAGTACACTTTCTTCCATACTCAGCTACACCCCACCCCAGACACTTACATCCATACCTTTCTCATACTGTTGCCTCTGCCCCACATTTCTCTCCACTGTTGTCCTTCTGCAGACTTCCTGCTTAACTATTCAAACTCAGATAAGCACGACCTCCTCCCTGAAGCTCTCCTTTCCTCCCTAAGCAGAGTTAGATATGTTTCTTCTGCTCTGTTTCATGTCTTTTTATAAATCACACACACATACTTTGTTATTGTCCTGGAGTTATTTGCAAGTCTTGTTTCCTCTCCAGAATGTAAACTCCAATAGAACAGGGACTGTGCCTTAATTATCTCTGTATCCTGAGCACCTCGTGCAATGGATCCACTCTGAGGGCTCACACTAAGGGCTTACTGTATTGACTAAAGCATATATATGCATTGTATTAGGACTCCTTGTGCAAGTGAAACTCAACTCGAACTGGCTTAAACCAAGAAAATAATTGATTGCCTCATGTTACTGGGGTAAGCTTGGCTTTAAGGTTGGCGGCATCTACAGATTCAAAAGATGATATAAGGAATTGTATTTTGCATCTCTTGGATTTGACACTGTCTCCACAGTGGAGCAGCACCTGGCAAATGAGTGGGCCTCTGTCTCCAGAGCTGTGAGGAACTAAACGGGAGGTAGGGTTATGCCGCCTGATTAACACAGACAGAATGGGCAAGCAGCGTTTCTGCAAAGAGAGTTTGGAACACTGAAAACAGAAGTCCACCTTGTTTGTGTATATTTGTAAGCCTGTGAGTGGATATCTATTTACATGCATAACTGCTTATCAGACTTATTTTCCTTCCTTCTTTCCTCTCTCTCTTCCTTATTTTTCTTCCCTTTTTTTTTTACTTTTTATTATAGAAAACTTGAAACCTATACAGAAGTAGAAAGAATCATGTAAATGAACCCTCATGTGCTGATGACCAGCTTCATTTAACAGTTGTCAACACTTAACCGATTTGTTTCAGTTATACCCCTGCCTCTGCTGGATTTTTTGTAATAAATCCCTTATCTGGGATTTATTTACTCTGCACTTACTTCAGTTTGTGTCTCTAAAAGATACTTAAAAATACCCCACAAATCATTATCACATCTGAAAAAATTAGCAATAATTCCTTAGTATCCTTCATATTTCCCTAATGTCTCATAAACATTTAAAAAATATTTGGTAATTTAAATTAGGATCCAGACAAGGGTCATATATTACATAATTTGGTATATCTCTTAAATATCTTTTAATCTGTAGATTCTCCCCCTCCCCTTTTTTGATTAAGACTTTATTTTTTTAGAGCAGTTTAAGGTTCATAGCAAAACTGAGGGGAAAGTACAGATATTTCCCATACTCTCCCTACCCCTACATGTGCACAGCCTCCCCCCATTGTCAGTATCCCCCATCAGAGTGGTACATTTGTTGTGCATTTGTATTGAGTGACATTGTACATGTTGACAGTTATCACTACGCTGGTACATTTGATCAATCTCCATTGACACAGCATCATCACCTAAAGTCCATGGTTTACATTAGGGTACATTCCTGTTGTACATTCTGTGGTTTTGGACAAATGTATAATGACATGTATCCACCATTACAGTATCATACAAAGTAGGTTTACTGTCCTGAAAGTCCCCTGTGCTCTGCCTGTTCATCCCTCCCACCCCTTAATTTCTGGTAACCAGTGATCTTTTACTGTCTCCATAGTTTTGCCTTTTCCAGAATGTTATATATTGCAGTCATACAGTATGTAGCCTTTTCAGATTGGCTTCTTTCACTTAGTAAGGCATTTGTTTCCTCCACATGTTTTCATGGCTTGATAGCTCATTTCTTTTCATCATTGAATAATATTCCATTTTCTGGATGTACCACAGTTTATTTATCTGTTCACGTACTGAAGGACATCTTGGCTGATGCCAAATTTTGGTAATTATGAATAAAGCTGCCATAAACATCCATGTGCAAGTTTTTGTGTGGGCATGTTTTCAACTCCTTTGATCATGATTGTTAGATTGTATGGTAAGGGTGTGTTTAGTTTTGTAAGAAACTGCCAAAGTCCATATATTATATTGGTTGGTAAATCTCTTAAATATCTTTTAATCTATAGGTTCTCCCTTCTGCCCTCTTTTTTCCTTGAAAATTTTTTGAAAAATAATATGGATCATTTATAGAATTCTCATTTTGGATTTGACTGATTTTATCCATGTTGTATCTTTTAATACATTCTTCTCTCTCTTCTTTTTCTCATAAATTGCTACTTAGATCTAGAGCCTTGATCAGGTTCAGGTTTAATGTTTTTGACAAGAGTATTTCATCTGAGGTCGTTTGTACTTTCAGCTGCATCACATTCAGGAGGCACTTGGTGTCTGGTTGGATCTTTTTGTGACATTAAAGTTGCTCGTGGGTTCAGGCTTGTCTACCTGATGTATCTGTTATAGTGTTCCCATTAGCTTTTCACCTAAAGAGTTTGGCGGCCATTGGTGATCACTGCTTAGATCCTTCTAGTTAAAAGACTACTCCTGTATGTTTAACTTTAAGCCCACAAATACATTTTTCTAGAAAAATTCTCGAAAGCCTGGTATTGAAGACCCTCTCCTAGCTTGGGGCCATCTTACCTCTCCAGCCTTTGTATCCTCTGTTCCTCTGTAGTGTTCCTCTGTAGTACTGGAGTATTACACAACTTAGCCTGGTCTTTTGGACCTCTCCAGAAGCATTTAAATTCCCACTTCCAAACTTTTTCATAATGTCCTCCTAGCTTGAGACGTTCACTCTCTACTCGCTGCCACTCCAACTCTTTTAATGCTCACCTTAAGCCTCCACAGGGTTTTCTAATTTCCCCAGCCAGAAACAATCTCTTTTTTCAACTCTTGAGGGGGTTTATTTAAGTGGCACAAAGGTGTCATGCCCAGTACCCTAACTCTTTGTGTTCAGGGTGAGGACCCTAGTTTGGTGTGAGCTCCTTGAGGGCAGGGGCAGCCCTATGTATCTTTCTGTCTGTCTGGTTTCTATTTTGGTGCCTTGAGAACTGGTTAACATGTCTCTCCACACGTATGTTATCGACTTGTTGAGGGAAGGGACTATGGTTTAATGGCATTTGTGACAGCAGTGCCAAGTACCTAGAAGATAGTCATTGTTTATTGGGTGTGTAAGTGAATTTATGTGAGAAAGCTGGTACATGATGAGTTTATGGATTTTTGTGAAGTGCTATTTAATCATTAAAAAAAACAATCGTCACAGATATTTGGTTTTCCCTAATTAATAGAATCTGTACTCATTTTCAGATACTCTGCTAGATCCTTTCCCATTATGGTATCCTCTTTTTCTTTTTTGTCTCCTACAAAATCAATCCATCAGTAAATGATTGTTTATCCCAGATAAGTGTCAGTTTGCTGCATTAGCTCAGAGGCCCAAGAAATCCTAAGAAAAAGAGAATAAAAAGATAATTTAAACTTTATTGCCTTTTTCTGGGCTCACTACCTTTTTTTCTTTTTCTTTATGGCTTTGGACATTTGACCATTTTGGGGAGTTTTTGTATGGTAATTTAGAAATTAATTATACTAACTGCTTTTACTTGCTTAAAAATATATTCGTGAACTACTGTGATAAATTTAGCATTTACTTTCTTTCAGCCTGCTTGAATTTCCTGAAGTTGTGCAAAATAAAATATTACAATTATTGCCTTATTCACAATGTACAGGTGAGTTGGTGGATGTTAGTCTTTTTCTTTGTTATTGGAATCATCTGCCACAATTCTGAATTAACAAAGTATCTTATATATTATAGAGGGATTTTATCATACAAACGGGTGATCCTACAGGGACTGGTCGTGGAGGAGAGTCTGTTTTTGGGTAAGTTTTTTAATTTTTTTTTTTTAGATTTTTAAATTTATTTCCTTTTTCTCTCCAAAGCCCCCCGGTACATAGTTATATATTCTCAGTCGTGGATCCTTCTAGTTGTGGCATGTGGGATGCCACCTCACCATGACTTGATGAGTGGTGCCATGTCCGAGCCCAGGATCCCAACCGGCCAAACCCCGCGCCTCCCCAGCAGTGCGCGCGAACTCAACCACTCGGCCACGGGGCCGGCCCTAGTTCTTTTATTTTTAAAGGAGTAAAATAGAATTGCCTCTTAATGATGTTAACTACCATATTTCAATCTGCATTTTAAAATATGTTTCAAATATAGATTTTTTCCAAGTTCCTTAAATGTCTGTAGCAAAAAAAGAGGAATATTTTGAATCATAGCAGCATTTCTATAAAGAAATGGTAACCCTTTATATTACTAGAACTTCTATATTTCATGTTGAGAGTACTTATATTTTATAACCTTATTTGTATTTTCAGTCAACTGTATGGTGATCAAGCAAGCTTTTTCGAGGCAGAAAAAGTGCCAAGAATTAAGCATAAGAAGAAAGGCACTGTGTCCATGGTGAACAATGGCAGTGATCAGCATGGATCTCAGGTTAGGAAATGAGTGAGAAGATATTTTGCTTTGAAATGAAGGACTGGAAGGATACGATAAAGTTATCTTTTTAAACTATACAGTAAGAGAATTTCAGTCAAAAATATTGGTTAGAAGAAGAAAATTACACAGTTTTTTCTATATAGAAAAATTAATTTGTTCTCTTAAATGTAAGTCATGTCTATGTGAAGAATTTGAAAAATACACAAAAGTATGAAGAAGAAAACATTACAGCCATCCATGGATTGTCACTGCTCATGTTGTAGCCCATTTGCTTTCTGTGTTTATGACTTATTTCAGAACAGGTCACGTGCAGCGTCTTTCAGTCATTGCCTTGTTTAATCCTCTCTAAAACCCCATTTGGGGTAGTTGTGTTTTTTTCTCACAGTTTACATGTGAAGAAACTGAACCTTGGCTTGTCTAATATTTTAAACAGTCAGGGGAGCATCTGTGTATGTGTTGATGTTTTATGTATAAGCTTTGTACATTTTACTTAGTGCCAGCAACAAGTGGGTAAGAATCCATGCAGTTAAGGTAGAGTCTTTCTTTTGTGTGTTTTTGTCACTCTGTAACTGATTGCAGTATGAATTATATATATGTATGTATATATATTTGTGTTTATTCTGTACCTTTCTATATAGTTTCTTATCACCACAGGAGATAATCTAGATTACCTTGACGGTGTTCATACAGTTTTTGGTGAGGTGACAGAAGGCATGGATATAATTAAGAAAATTAATGAGACCTTTGTTGACAAGGACTTTGTACCATATCAGGATATCAGGTATGGTTCCAATTTACTATCTGAATGTACTAGAATCTTTTAATACGGTGATGTTTGACGTGTAGTGGTGATAGCACGAGTAGAATTGGTTTTTGGATGATTCCAAAATGTGAAGTAATACAAGATTAGAAGAATCCTTATGATTAAAAAAAGAACTTTTGTATTTTTACACCAATGCTAACCATTTGTTACTGCATATGTTGGGAAGAATTATTAATCCTTTAATTTAGTTCTTTTAAAAAGTGGAGATTAAGAAATGTGGCAAAAGTACTAAGATTTAGACATATGTATTTTACATCTTATTTATTTATTTATTTTTTGAGTAAGATTAGCCCTGAGCTAACTACTGCTAATCCTCCTCTTTTTGCTGAGGAAGACTGGCCCTGAGCTAACATCCATCCCCATCTTTCTCTACTTTATACATGGGACGCCTACCACAGCATGGCTTGCCAAGTGGTGCCATGTCTGCACCCAGGATCCAAACCGGTGAAACCCGGGCCGCCGAGAAGCGGAACGTGCGAACTTCACCGCTGCGCCACCGGGCCAGCCCCTATTTTACATCTTAGAGTAATGCAGAGTAATAAGTATAATATCAAACAATGAAAAACAGTAACACTAATTGTGAAAGTATGCTCTAGTAATATCTTTGTGCTATAAAATTTAACAGCTTATTTTTTTTGGCATTAGAAATACTTAAGACACTTGTTATAATCTTTATAAAAAGTAAAACATGAATTCTGAAATAACATAAATGTAACATTTGACTTGGATTTATTTTGTTAGGATAAATCATACAGTGATTTTAGATGATCCATTTGATGACCCTCCTGATTTATTAATTCCTGATCGATCACCAGAACCTACAAGGGAACAACTAGATGTAAGTAGAGTCCTCTGGTGATTGAATGTACATGCATATTTCAGTTGATCAATTATATGAGGACAGTTTAGAGTTCTTTCTCTCTTCCCTGGAGATAGTTATTTTTCTAGCTATCTTTTTATTTTCCTAATAGGCTTTCTTCAGTTTTGGTTCCACCGAAACGGCCTTACCTCTGGAAGCTTAAATGAACACCTTGGGAAAATGTTTTTCTTATCTTCTGACTCTAGATGGGAGTCTAGCTTTAAGGCTAAATTAAATTGTCATCTTGTGAGGGAACTTTTCACCTGGGGGTACTCGGGAGTCCAGTAATTTCTGTGGAATAATGCAGACTTTTCCATCAGATATTTTAAGATATAAATTTCTGCTTATGAGGCTTCCTCAAAGCTGAATTTATCTTTATAGTTGGGATCTGGTGCTTAATTTCTAAGATTATTTATCTTCTGGATTCAGCATTTAGTTGAATACCAGATAGTTTGTTTATAAACGTTTATTTTGATTTAACAATAAATTAGAAACCTAATCTGGCTAATATTATTGAATTAATTTAAATCGATTTTCAGAGGTTTGTAAGTTTGTTTCACATTTGTGACTTGTGTTCAAACACATTTTGGTGGAACAAAGAATAAAGCATAATGTGTCTCCCATGTTTCTCAGATTTTTCTGTTCTTTAAATACGCGTATGTGTATATATATGTGAGTGAATTTCTGCCTTACAGAGTGGTCGAATAGGAGCAGATGAAGAAATCGATGATTTCAAAGGAAGATCAGCTGAAGAAGTAGAAGAAATAAAGGCAGAAAAAGAGGCCAAAACTCAAGCTATTCTACTAGAAATGGTAAGATAATTATCTTGTTCACATAGTTGTTCAGCGATATATTTAGTACATACTTATTGTGAGTTTATCTATTTCTGGCTTTCTAGTAGTCTTAAAATATTAAAAATTTAGCTGAGGGTTCTTTTCTGGATTAAATTTTGTATGACATAATACATGAAAGTAAACAAATTTGATTCCATTATCAATATAGTGCCAAGTGCCTTTTTTTAGAAATGGGAAGTGGATATCCAAGTTACAAATGTTAATTTGATTTTGATTGTTTATTTTTGTTTCATTTTTAAAGCATGTTTCTTGGACTGAATTTTATGTATATTAAAGAATAATTCTTTGTACAACTCAAGTATTGAAATTAAAGAGCAGAATAGTAGTTACAGGATAAAATAAACCTGGGTAGAAATTGAGCACTCATCCTCTGTATTACTAACGATATAAAGCCATTTGGGGAGCAGTTATTCAGTAGATTATTAGTTGACCTACTAAGCATTTTTTCCATTTCTTTTCTTTGTGGAATGAGGATACCTTTCACACAGTACACCGTCAATAAATATTTGGATGGATAATAATCAAGTTTTTATTATTATAATTATTTTGTATAGTAGAGCTTTCAGATCCCTGGTCTGTTTTAAAATTTATGTTAGTATCACCAGTCTGAAGGAACAAATATTAAAAACTATAGTTTCAGAAAACTTTACTGAATTAAAAAAAAATGAAAATGCGCCTTTTAATGAGCACACTGTGTATCTGACAATATTGATGCAAAACAACCAACACCAAGACAAATTCTAAGAAAATTACTGGACTTAAAAGAGAACAAGTAAATGACTTAGTAGGGAAAGAACATTAGATTATCATCAGAATTTTCAACAGCAAAAGTACAGGAAGTTTATGCCAGAAGAAAATGGATTAACTTGTTTTTTAAACTTTTTACTTTCTGATAATAAAAAAATTTATGGAAAAATTACAAAATAGTGCAGAGAACTTCTATATACCTTTTACCTAGATTCACCAGTTTTTAACGTTTTGCCACATCTGCTTCATCAGTCGCTCTCTCTCTCTCTCTTTCTCTCTCCTCCCTGTCACCTCTCCTTCTCTTCTCTTTCCCTCTCTCTGTCTCTGATTATACGTGCACATGCACACACATGTGTTCTCTGGACCGTTTGAAATTAAGTTGCAGACATCTTTCTTCTTTGCCTCTTAGATCAGGGTGCATTTCCTAGAGCAACAGCATTACTCTACGTAGTCACAGTACAGTTACCAAAACAGGAAATCTAAAACTGATGGAAATTACATCCATATTCCAATTTTGCTAGTTATTTCAATATCTTTTATAGCTTCCCCCCTACCCGCCCCCCCAGTCTAGAACCTAGCTCTTGATTGATTGCCTTTGCGTTTATTTGTCACGTTTCTCTAGTCTCTTTGATCTGGGAGAATTCCTTAACCTGTCTCTATTTTTCGTGACATTAACATTTTTGTGGAATACAGGTCATTTATTCTATAGAATGTTCTTCAGTTTAGGCTTATCTACTGTTGCCTCGTGAGTGGATTCAGGTTATGCACCCACAGCTGGAATGCTACATCACTGATGCATCCTCCTCAGATGTCACATCTGGAGGTATACAATAGCCAGCTGCCCCACATTAAAAAGTGGTTGTTTTGGTCACTTGGTCAAGGTAATCCACTGCCTGGTAATCCATTGCCTACTTTCTGTTATCCCCTTGCAACTAATAAGCAATCTGTAGCAAGACACTTTGAGACCTTTCATATATTTTATTCCTTATCAGACCGTCCCTCTAGATTTCTCAGCTGTTCATGGTTCTTTCGGAACCAGTCTTGACTCTGATGCCTGCAAGATGGTGATTTTCCAACTCTACCACTCCTCCCACGCTTCTCAGCCTGCGTTCTTGTAAGGAAGAGCCTTCCTTTATTCTCTACTTAGTGATTCATCATCACTATGGACTCATGGATTCCATGTTTGTTTTGTTTTTAATAAGTAGACTATTTTTTTTTCCTTTTTGTCCCCAAAGCCCCCTGGTACATAGTTGTATACTCTTCATTGTGGGCCCTTCTAGTTGTGGCATGTGGGATGCTGCCTCAGCGTGGTCTGATGAGCACTGCCATGTCTGCGCCCAGGATTCCAACCAACGAAATACTGGGCCGCCTGCAGCGGAGCGCTCGAACTTAACCACTCGGCCATGGGGCCAGCCCCATAAGTAGACTCTTTTTTAAGAGCAGTTTTAGGTTTACAGCAAAATTGAACGGGAAGTAGAGAGTTCCTGTGTACCTCCTGCCCCCTCCACAACACTTTCTCTTTTTAATTAACATCTTGCATTAGTGTGATACATTGTTTCCAATTGATGAGCCAATATGGATACATTATTATTAACTAAAGTTCATAATTTACATTAGTATTCACTCTTTGTGGTGTTCTTCCTGTGGATTTTGACAAATGCCATGTATCCACCATTACAGTATCGTGTAGAATAGTTTCACTGCCCCCAAAATCTTCTGTGCTCCACCTGTCCGTAATACCCTCCCTCCCCTAACCCCTGGCAACCACTGATCTTTTTTAGTTGTCTGTATAGTTTTACCTTTTCCAGAGTGTCATTTGGTTGGAATCATACAGTATGTAGCCTTTTCACATTGGTTTCTTTCACTTAACAATATGCATTTAATGTTGCTCGTCTTTTTGTGGCTTGATAGCTCATGTCTTTTGATTGCTAGATAATATTCCATTGTACAGATGTACCACAGTTTGTTCATTCACCTATTAAAAAGAATCTTGGTTGCTTCCAAGTTTTGACAAGTATGAATAAAGTTGCCGTAAACATTTGTGTACAGATTTTTGTGTGGACATAGGTTTTTAACTTACTTGAGCAAAATACCTAGGAGTACAGTTGCTGGATTGTATGGTTTGGCTTTGTAAGAAACTACCAAATTGTCTTCCAACATTTTGCATTCCCACCAGCAATGAATGAGTTCCTGTTGTTCTTCATCCTTGTCAGCATTTGGTGGTGTCAGCGTTTTGGATTTTAGCCATTCTGATAGGTGATCCTGTGTCCTTTGGATTCTCACTATTAACAGGTTTCATCTTCTGTTTTCTAAGAACATCCATTTCTTTTGCTTTATTTCTGTGTAATATAATGATAATTCAACTTGTGTTTTGCATTATCAACTAGTGTTTTGAACCTTATAGCAGTTAGGAGTATTTTAAGTTTCCCTGTAGTATTTTAAGGTTATCTTTGACAAGTAGTATAGCAAGTTCTTTTTTAACTCAGCTTTTTTTCTCATTTGTGCTTCCTTTAGATGCAGTGTTTCTACCATTGTAGGTGCTTTTAGGGATTTTTACTGATTTGGTCTTTCCCTATGTGTTGTAATATTGCTTATTGGACATAGGTTATTGTCTTTTGATAGGCTTCAGAAACACTGAGCAGCTCTTAATGGCACTGTTGCTTCTTAATATTTCTGATTTTCAAGATTTCTTTTTTTTTTCCCAGCGTGTTTATCCAAGAGGAGATACTTTGTATGATAATCTTACCAGAAATCATCTCTGAGAGTTTTCGAACATAAGTGTAAAGGAATATTGTTTCCACCTCTAAAGGCCCATGGGAAATAAAGTTTTCCCACAGTGACACCAGTACCGTCATCGTGGTTTTCTCTCACTGTCGCTGTCTCTAGTTCTTTAGTAGGAAGCCGTGTGCTTTACTCGGTGCACTAGTTGACTGTGAAGTTTACTTCAGTTTGGCTGAAGTAGGTGATAGAGTAAAAAGCTGGAAACATTATGCAGGAACTGTTGCTTTTCTGTATTGAATAATAATGTGGAAAGAATTGGGTGTTACAAATCACAGAAGACTACATTCAGTATGATAATATTTTTCAAAAGTTTACAAACAAGCAGAACTAAACAATATATTGCTTAGGGATGCACATCTATGTGGTAACACTCTAAAGATATGGAAGGAAATGGCTAAAAAGGAAAGCCCAAAGGTAGGATATTTGTTATTTCTGGTGAGAGAGACAGAGGGATAGTGGGATGAGGGGACATTTTAGTTCTTAAGCCAATTGGTGACATCGTGGGTGTTTTTTATTTTCATGCTTCATAACTTAGATGTATTTTACATAAATTCTTTTTTTAATATATCAGATACTTGAAAAATGAAAAATTGGTGATAAAATTGGGGCTTTGAAGCCAGTTTCCAATCCCACCTCTGTTGTTTACTACTGTGTGGCCTTGGGCAAGTTAGTTATTTGAGCTTTTTGAATTCACTTTACTCATCTTTAAAACAGAAATTGCAGATTTATTTTAAGAATTGACAGTAATGTATATGAAGTGTAAAGCATGGTGTTCACACACAGTAGGAGTCAGGTAAATATTAACTATGAATATTGTTATTGCCAGGAACAATGTGGTGGCAAATTTTGAAATCTCATTTCTTTTCCTGAGGCTGTAGTTTATAATAGAAATTTAGATATTTTAGGGAAATCAGCGTTGTGGGTTGGATGGGGCATTTATAATGGAAACTAAAGGAACTGATTTATATTCTGGTTTGTTTATAATTTAGGTTGGAGATCTACCTGATGCAGATATTAAACCTCCAGAAAATGTGCTATTTGTGTGTAAATTGAATCCAGTGACCACAGATGAGGATCTGGAGATAATCTTCTCAAGATTTGGGCCAATAAGAAGGTAATTTCTAGAATTAGTGAGCAATTCAGAAAAACTCGGTATTGGTGGTTTTCTAATGACAAATTTTTGGTGAGTCTGTGAACTTTTTCTTGGTGAATTACAATATATACACAGACACACATACTTACATACAATTGAATGGTTCTCCCGCTCCCGACACGAACATCGTCACTCTGAAACAGGCAGTGATGGGGCATTTGTCTCGTTCTGTGGTGTACTCAGGAACCTTCTGTAATGTTTAAGATATTTATCTCATTTAAGTTCTCCCTAGAATTACCAGCAATCTGTATTAATTTAATTTTGACTCTAAATTTTCCAGAATTTTTCTTTTGGCTAATTTCTCCTGCATTATTAATACAAAAGTTTAAGAAGCTAGTATTTCTGTGAGAAAGGGGAATATTTTGTAATTGATTAAAAAGTATTATTTTATGTTTAGAATTTCCTTTTACTTCATGTTTTTTTCCCACGAAGCCATTCTTTTTTTTTTTTTGGTTGTTTGTTTTTCTTTTTTCTTTTTTCTTTTTTAAAGATTTTATTTTTTTCCTTTTTCTCCCCAAAGCCCCCCGGTACATAGTTGTATATTCTTAGTTGTGGGTCCTTCTCGTTGTGGCATGTGGGACCACTCGGCCACGGGGCCAGCCCCCGATGAAGCCATTCTTTGTTATTCCTATTGAAAGAAATATCTTTCTGTAAATGGCTACCCAACTTTCTTACTCCACCCACTTATGTTAGATCATTTTTATAAAAAACACTTCTATACTGTTTTTTATTTTTGAATTTTAGACATTTTATACTGGCTTCCTGCTAAGGAAGTCAAGGGTTTACCTTTATTACTATCCTCCTCTCTTCATTCTCCCCTCCTGTTGCTTTGGTTGTGTCATAATTTTGGTTAGATCGTTGTTTAATATTTACATTTTAATGTAGATGTAAATATTGTAACAACTGAATCATGTGTTATAATGTGATTGCTTTTCTTGTACAATGTTTTATTTCCCTGTTGCATTTCATGTTTTTAAAATGAGGCTCATGATACATGAGGAAAGCGACAGGCAAGGGCTTTCAGCTCCACCGTATTGGCTTTTTCACTTGGTTCTTAAGATAGACTAGTTCTGTATAATAGATATTCTTAATGGGGTCAAATTTGAGCTTGGTTTATATTAAAATTCAAAAACTCCAAAGCATAAACTTAATAAACATCTATATATGTATGAATATGTATACATTATTCCACAGTAACATTAGATATTATATAATTCATCTATATTTGGGGTAGAAATTATGATTAAGACATTTTTTAGCAGTAGTTTACTTTTGCAAAAAGAAAATTAAACATTTTATCTTATTCTTCCTTCAGTACTTTGGGAATTTGGGATTGTAGGCCAAGATAGAAGATTTAGAGTAGAATCTAGAAAAATTGAATTACTAGATTGTGGACTATTTTTAAAAAAGAATTGTCATTGAAGAAATTTGGAGAAATATAGTTCCATGAGTTTAACTTTGCCTTTTAATAACTGCCTTATTCTCTTCTTCGCTTGTGAAGAGTGAGAGTGAATGCGTTTTCTTTAAAGTCACTTTTTTCCAAACTTTCTTTCAGTTGTGAAGTTATCCGGGATTGGAAGACAGGAGAATCCCTCTGTTATGCTTTTATTGAATTTGAAAAGGTAGGTCATAATATAGATGTATTAAGTTTGATATTTATTTTGTTCTTGTATGGTATTAAAATGTGAAAAATTATAGAACGTTTTCTAGTCTCTAAGATTAGAAAATTAGTTTGCCCTTTCTTTAGGCACCCAAGAAAAATAGCTGTTATATTCAAATAGGATAAATTCAACACCTGTTAATGTTAATATACATACCTTTACTTTAGATTCAAATGCCATCTGCACGAATGTATCTTTAAAACTTTAAAGTTTTAGGTAAGGTCCCTCAAGTTCTAGAAATGATTTTTCAGTGTTTTTAGGTAGGAATATAACTGAGTAATAGAGAGAACTGGACTGGAGTAAGATCTAGATGATAATCCAAGCTCTGTCACTGACCAGCCGTTAGATGATATTTAGTAGTTTATTTAGAACTGTTCTTTCTAGGCGTTACCTTATAAATAAAACTTGAGTATTGGATTAGATGGTACCTTCTAGATCTATGATAATAATGATAGTTTATGTTACTCAGATAGCTTTCTTTAAGCCAGGTGTTAGGTTAGTCGACCTGCATTTAATCCTCGCAGCTCTGAGAGAGGGACCGTCCTCCTGTTCCAGATAAGTGGACTGAGGCACGTAGTGGTGATGTGTCCTGTTTAAACTATGCGTCTAGTGAGTCTCCCGGCTGGGATTTGAGCTTAGACATGTCTGATTCTGTTCCCATTTCTTTTAGCCACTATGCTGGGCTGTGCTGTTTCGTCATGCAGCTTTGGGCTTATATGTATTCAGTAGTGGCTCATTCTGAGTTATGGTTGTTCTGAAGCATTTATCAGACACCTTCTATATTTCAGACACTGCGATAAGTCCTAGGGATACAAGATGAATAATGGAGGGTTGAGGAAGACAGACACATATCACATTTTACCTGGACACCGGGTCAGGTGTACCAGAAATGATATTTACAAGGTACATTGGTGCTAGCAAAAAGGAGATCTTTACCTTTAGTTTGCTATGAATACTTTTTGTAGACTCGACAGTGTCATTCCATCATTGACACTACAGGATATGTAGTTTATTTGCTCACAGATACAATTTCATCTTGTTTATAGCATATAGACTATGACTGCCCGTGTTTCTCAGACTTCTGCAGGTATACCATTTGCCATGAATACGTAGTTCAGTTCAACTTCAGAGCATAGGGTGGTTCTGGAATCTATGGCTTCTTTATCATGATTCAGTGATTTTTAGGTGGATCTTTTGAAGCTTTTCTCTTTTCTTGAAAATCATTAAGCTACCTTAGTCCACTTTATAATTCTCGTGGGTGGTAGCCTCTTTGTAAGTGTTCATCACTGAGTCTGTATTTTTTGCATGTTAGGCAAGTTTTGCATGTTTTGCATATCTATGCTTTGGATAATCTGATCCAAAATTTTTTTAAAACTGAAGAATAAAATACATAAAGAAAATGTATAGCTCCTGAGTGAACAGCTTGAAGAATTATCACAGTTAATACACTCATGTAAATCACCACCCAGGTCAAGAAATAAAATATTAATAGAAGAAAAAATTACTAGAATCCCAGAGGTCCTCCCTGTATCCCCTTCCAATAATTTCCCCATCACCACTACTTGTGACGTTACAGATTAGTTTTGTCTCATTTTAAACTTGATGTAAATGTAAACACAGTGTGTTTTTTTTTCATCTAGCTTCTTTTGCTCAGTGCTATATTTATAAGATGTATAGATGTTACTACAGGTGACTTGTTAACTTTTTTGTTAATTTTCAGTGACATACGGTATTTCATTGTGTGTATGTAAATTTTCATTGACATGTATTTCACTGTGTGTATGTAAAACAATTTAGATTTCCATTCTGCTGTTGATGGCCGCTTGGATCCTTTCCCAGTTTTTGGCTATTGTGAATGGTTCTACTGTGAATCATTTCGGTCATGTCTTTTGGTGTACATACGTATGCGTTTCTGTTGGGTATATATCCGGAATGATTTTATGTGTTATAGGGTAGGTGTAGCTTTAGAAGATAATTCCAATAACTTTACCAAAGTGGTTATACCAATTTTTACTTCCACTAGCAGTGTGTGGAATGGAATCCCTGTTATTTCATATCTCTATGAACTCTACCAGTCTTTTACATTTTATCCATTCTCATGGGCGCATAGTGGTATCTTATTGTGGTTTTATTTTGCATTTCCCTGGTTGAGCCCCTTTTCATATGTTTATTGCCATTTGAATGTCCATTTTTTATGTGTAACTGTTCAAGACTTGCACACTTTTTGATTGGCTGCCTTTTTATTGACTTGTAAGAATTCTTTACATTTTCTGGATACAAGCTCGTTTTTGATTATATATGTTGCAGCTATCTTCTCCTCTGTGTATTGCCTTTTCCCTTGTTTTAATGATGTCTTTGATAAGCAGAAATTTCTCACTTTTAGTTCAGTTTGTCAGTATTTTCCTTCCTTATTATCGTCTGTTTGAAAAATCTTTGCCGGGGGCTGGCCCAGTGGTGCAGGGGTTAAGTTCGCCCATTCTGCTTCGGCGGCCCGGGATTTGCCAGTTCGGATCCCAGATGTGGACCTACACACCACTTGTCAAGCCACGCTGTTATAGGCGTCCCACATAAAAAGTAGAGGAAGATGAGCATGAATGTTAGCTCAGGGCCAGTCTTCCTCAGCAAAAAGAGGAAGATTGGCGGAAGATGTTAGCTCAGGGTTAATCTTCCTCAAAAAAGAAAAAAAAAAATCTTTGCTTATGGCAAAGTCATGAAAATATTCTCCTGTGTTATCTTTAGAAGCTTTGTTGTGAAATTATCTTTCCCTTGTAGATCTGTAATTTCATTTTTGTGTGTTATGTGTATCATGTTAAATTTCATTTTTCTTATGTTGGATAGCCAGGTGACCCAACACACTTTACTAAAAAGTTGTCCTATCTGTACAGTCCTGAAGTGCCACCTTTGTCGTAAATCAGGTGTCTACGTATGTGTAAAGTATCTGGGAACTTTTTCTTTGGGGAAATGGCACAGTGATAGAATTATGCCTGCCCAAGTGTAATCACTCAGATTCATCAAATGTAATGTTAATTGCCTACCATGCGCCAGATGATGTTCTAAATGATGTAGATAAAAGGATGAATAAAGCTTTGTCTATATCTTCATGGAGTCTATAATTCATTTAATTCTTGACATACATGGTAAATAAATAAGATTATAACTAGTTCTTTTATCTGTTTCTCTTTGAATGGTCTTTAGTGAGTAGTGAGCAGACTAAAGATTAAGTTTGTAGGAATATCAGAGAAAATTTATCAGTGCTGGATTGAAATCTGTCACTTCTAGTCTTCAGGTGTCAGCAATGGAGAGACAGGGTTTGTGAAGTTGCTGACAGGAAAAATCCTTACACAGCACAGACGTTGGTATCACAGTCCTGCAGTCTCTTATTCAAAACCCTTGGGAATAGCTGTGCTTCCAAATTCAGGCTTTTTCAGAATTTAGAAAGGTAATACTGTGTGTGTGTGTGTATACATATATATAAATACCTGTGGATTATGTAATACTCCTCTGGGTCAGGGTTCCATAATCAGTCACAAAAATATTTCTGCAGTGAAACAAATGAATATTCATACTAGGTGAGCAGATTAAGGCCGTAGCCTCCCATTAGGTCAGGTTTTGCTGTCAAATGGATTTTAACACCAAACTTATAAAGACAACTTTGAATTTTCAGGATATTTTTGAGTCTTGAGTAAAAGGGACTGTGGACTCCTACACCACGATTGATAAGTGTATCTACGTCCACTGCTATCAGACTGGCTTAGTTCGAATCCTGGCCCTCACCCTTGCCACCTGCGGGACCCTTGGCAACTTCTGTACCTTTCCAACTTCTGTTTTCTCTTTGAGAAAATGGAGACAATAATAGATAGTACCTCATAGGTATCAGAGTTAATTAAGGTAATAGATGCAAAACATTTAACAGCATTTGGTGCATAATAAGCATACAAATAATAGTTTAGTAACGATAAACTTTTTGTATTTTCAGTATTTATTCTAGCTGCAGTAATCTTTTACATAAAGATTTATGCTTGAGTTTTTATAATTACTGTCAGGAAGAAGATTGTGAGAAAGCATTCTTCAAAATGGACAACGTACTTATAGATGACAGAAGAATACATGTGGATTTTAGCCAGTCTGTTGCAAAGGTTAAGTGGAAAGGAAAAGGTATGTTGGTTCATCTTCCTTTGTTTCTGTTCTGCTTTGCATGCTTCTGTGTGTGTGTGTGTATCTCCTTTGACCTAGTGTTGTTAATTAGGAGAAATGTTCATTGATGTCATTCCTGCCATTTCTGGTTTTATGTAGCTGCCACCTAGAATATAAGATAGAGGGGTGGGTGTGTGAGTGTGTATATGTGTATTTTAAACTGATGATGAATATATTTTATATGTTTGACTGTGTTATAAATTACTTAGAATTACCCACTGCAGACATGACATGTGTCCAAAGTCATTATTATAAGGTTTGTGGTGGTTTGGTTCTTCTAGATGGGAAACTCTTAGCAAACTTTTTTTGAAAGTTTGTTTTAGTTGTCGTATTGTACAGGTTTGAAAGGTCCATGAAAAGGTGGTGGAAGAAAGTGTCCCTTCCACTCCTGCCCCTCGTCTACCCAATTCCCCTACTCAGAGGTAACCACTGTCACCTGTTTCTTTTATGACTTCCACCTACATTGTTTGAATATACATACATATGTATTTGTTTTATCTTTAGAATTTCCTTTCATTTCATGTTTTTTTCCCATATATATTTTCTGTATATATGTTGTTTTCTCCTTTGGAAAAAGAAAGCACAACTGGATGCAGTCTCTACATACCGTTTCTGTTTGTCTTTTTTGTTTAATGATGTTTCTAAGAGATAGTTCATATCAGTATATAAAATGACAGTTTATTCTTTTCAGTGGCTGCACAGTGTTCTGTTGAACGTATGTATCATAATTTACTGAACCAGTCCTATTAATGCACAGTTGAGTTTCTAATCATTTATTCTTCTGTGTATTATCCCTGTACATATGACGTTTCCCACATATGTATATGTATGCGTCACATAAATCCCTGGTAGTAGCATGCCAAAACTAAGGTTGAATCTGTGGTATGCTGATTGAAATAATAGGGGTTTTGATTTTTGCTACAGTGTTTTTAAAAAGTTTCACTTTGGCAGTTATTCACCATGTGATGCTAAATTTTGCTAGCAATTCTAGGATTACTTTCTTTTTATATACCACTTTTCTTTATTTCCCATGAATTTTATGAACTCTTTCTTTTTTTTTCCACATGTGATAATTGCAACTGTGGGAATGAAAGAATCAAAGAAGTATATTCAGGGACTACAGACGAGCTGCTGGCTTAGTGCAACGCAGTTCTGGTCCTGTAGTCCTGCCAAGCAGTTGTGTGGGGCTCTCCTAGAGAGCTAACTTAGTGTTAGCATTTGGGTTATATGTGAAACAGACACTATTTTAATTCCTCATTACAGGGAAGGAACTTGACACATAATCTTATGAACTGATTTTCCCAGGGTCACATAAACTGATGATTTAAACAGGCCCTAAATCTAGTTTTTTTTTCCCTCTGGGTTCTGTCTTCCTAAGCCGTCTACTTACTGAAGAAATGATACTGCCTTCCTAAGCAGTTTCAATGTAGTTTATCTACAAGATGACTTTTAAGTGAATTTCTTCATGTTTTCTTCTAAAATAAAGTGTCACACAGGAGATATGCTTCAGTTTCACATATGCCATCATAAACATATAGTATTTTTTATTGCAGTAGCATTGGATTATAACATTATATGGCTTTCAGATGTAAATAGTTTGTTTTTAATCTCAGTTAATTTTGAGATTATTTTATATATTATGGATTCATGTTTAGTAAATTGAATATGTACTGTGTACCGTTCATAGTGCTAAGTACTTTCCCTTATAGCCTTATTTAATGATTCCAGCAGCTCTGTGAAATCTTGCTATTATTTTCAGTTCATAAATGAAGACAATGACTTTCAGAGAAATGAAATAAATGTCTTACCTGGGATTCTCCACTAGAGCCAGGATTTGAATCCAGAACTTCTCACTTTAATCCATTGTTCTTTCTGTCATACCGTAACTCCCTCATCCCTAGAGAGACTCCTAATGGCAAGCACATGGCAAATATTTTTTTTGTGATGGAATGATGTCTGTTTGTTACAGTTAAAAGTATTTTAACTCTTACAGTAGTTTATTTCACATTTATATGAAACATTGTCTATTGGCCATTTTTGTTCCCAGAGCCTCTGGTATTGCCAAGTAGATTCTTCTCATCTTTGATGCTTGCCCCCTTTTTTATTCCTGTTTTCTTCTTTCTTTAAAGGCCCCGATGACAAGATGTCTCTAGGATTCACAATCGAAACACCTCTCTGTCATAATGCTAATTTCAGTGAATAAATGACATTCATGCTGCAACTAAAACAAAAGCACAGCTCCTCTCTGTGTCCCTCCAGTTTGCTTTACTTGTGCATTCAGTCTTGGACTTTTCCCGCTAGAAGCATTTCCTCGTGGCAGCTGAGGGGAGAGGAAAGGCGGGTCAGTCAGCAGGTTCGGGACGTGGATAGGAACTGAGTCCTCATCTGGTCGGAGACCAGGCTTGAGAGTAGAGAGGGCACGTGAGTGCTCTCTCCTTTCCTGGCCCTGCCATTGGAGGCTAGCTAGGTATAACAGTAGGTCCTATTTTTCTGAAGGGATTGTTGATTTCATTTTTGGCACTTAGGAGGAATAAAGGTGCTCGTAAGCCAGAATTTCAGAGTAGAGACAGTTTATCTTTGGTGCTCTCACAGCCCTCCCCTCCCACGTCTCTTTAGTGAGCTTCTGCGCGCATCCTCCTCCCTTCAGTGAGCCTCTGCGCGCATCCTCCTCCCTTCAGTGAGCCTCTGCGCGCATGCTCCTCCCTTCAGTGAGCCTCTGCGCGCATCCTCCTCCCTTCAGTGAGCCTCTGCGCGCATGCTCCTCCCTTCAGTGAGCCTCTGCGCGCATGCTCCTCCCTTCAGTGAGCCTCTGCGCGCATCCTCCTCCCTTCAGTGAGCCTCTGCGCGCATCCTCCTCCCTTCAGTGAGCCTCTGCGCGCATGCTCCTCCCTTCAGTGAGCCTCTGCGCGCATCCTCCTCCCTTCAGTGAGCCTCTGCGCGCATGCTCCTCCCTTCAGTGAGCTTCTGCATCCTCCTCCCTTCAGTGAGCCTCTGCGCGCATGCTCCTCCCTTCAGTGAGCCTCTGCGCGCATGCTCCTCCCTTCAGTGAGCCTCTGCGCGCATGCTCCTCCCTTCAGTGAGCTTCTGCGCGCATCCTCCTCCCTTCAGTGAGCCTCTGCGCGCATGCTCCTCCCGTCAGTGAGCCTCTGCGCGCATGCTCCTCCCTTCAGTGAGCCTCTGCGCGCATCCTCCTCCCTTCAGTGAGCTTCTGCGCGCATCCTCCTCCCTTCAGTGAGCCTCTGCGCGCATGCTCCTCCCTTCAGTGAGCTTCTGCATGCATCCTCCTCCCTTTAGTGAGCTTCTGCACGCATCCTGCTCCCCTCTCTGCTTGGTGCTCTATTGAGATTTTGGGCAGTGTCTTTTTTGACAGATCACAGGTCGTTGAAGCCTCACTTCTTCCAAACTTACAAGCCTCTCAGATCTCAGACTCAGGTCCCAGGCCCTCAATTTCCCTTGAGCCTAATGTTCTCATGGACTTAGTGGCTCTGCTTCAACACTGCATTATTTTCCAGTGAATGGATTCACTGTGTAATTTGGGATTTGAAAGTCGGGTTGTAATATTCATGTATATCGTTAGGTGGCAGCATATAGCTACCTAACAAAATGGATATCTATTTCAGTTAAAATAATAATGGAGAATGCATTACTATGATTCTTTTGTTCTCTTCTCAGCCTTTTTCTATCCCCGGATATATATGTCACTTATAAAATAGCTCTTATATTACACCTCTTATAAAATAATGTTCTTGATTAATTAGATATTTTTCTTAACTAAATTTTTTTGTTCTTTTTTTAATAAATAGGTGGGAAATACACCAAGAGTGATTTCAAGGAGTATGAGAAGGAACAAGATAAACCATCTAATTTGGTTCTGAAAGATAAAGTAAAGCCCAAACAAGAGTATCCTTCACAAGAACCAGTCAGTCAGGCAGTATGCATTACCCCTGCGCTCTGTGTAGAGTCCTGTGTGATATGTTAGAACAAGGCACAAAGGCTGTAGGAGACGAAGTTCCTGAATCCAGACGGTTTGTGGAAAAATCATGTAGTTTATTGTTACCTTTTTTCATCGTCTCATGTTTACTTTGCTTTTTCAGTATCTTCTCTGTTGTGTGGAGAAAGTTAGGGCTGAAAGAATCTTTAGCCTAATTCTTTTACCTCCTTACTCTTAGGTTAAGGTTAACGTTTATTCTCAAAAGATCTTCAGGTAAGATTTGTATTTTCTGTACGTAATTGTAATGTCTTAAATTCCTCATAGTCAGAAATTTCTTGGTTATAGCTAAGATAAATCCTTTGTGCTAACCCTCCTCGAAGTTTTAACTTCTTTCAAGACGGTGAGTATGTAGATAACAAAATCCTGTCGTTCTCCTACGTGATTAGGTTGTTTCTTTCTGCATAATATGTTGTCAGTCTAGCAACAAATATTTCTTGGGCTCCTATTGTGTGCCAGAGTTGACTTTTATAGGATTAGAAAGAAATCAGTTGACTTGATCATTTTATTTAGGTTCTTCCGAGGTTTAGGTTGAGACAAGAAGCATTGAAACATACTGTTCATATTATATCATTTTAATTTGTTCATTGATATTCTCATCATAAATCTATCACTCCACACCTTGCAGAGGTTCTTTCTTTTGTGATTCTTTCTGGTAAATGGTTTCTTTGTTCCCTAGTTTCTGTTGGTGTTTTTGGGATTCTCTTTTCCCATACTGTATGGACATTTCTTTTCCAGGTGCTCATTAAGGAAAGGTGATATCGGGTTGACCTGTTACATACTCATTTTTTAAAATGTGTTGACTGTCTGCATTGCCTAAAGCATTGTAGGCTGTTAGAGCTGGATAAGTTCTGAAGGACACTGCCATAATCATCCTGAGAAGAGGCTTTCACATGCAGACAGACTGAGCAGTAAGCTAAGATTTAGTCTGAAAAGGTGAACATTAGGAAAAGATATGATTGAAATCTTATTATTTCTTTTTTGTTTTTTTAAGATTTTATTTTTTTTCCTTTTTCTCCCCAAAGCCCCCCGGTACATAGTTGTATATTCTTCGTCGTGGGTCCTTCTAGTTGTGGCATGTGGGACGCTGCCTCAGCGTGGTTCGATGAGCAGTGCCATGTCCGCGCCCAGGATTCGAACCAACGAAACACTGGGCTGCCTGCAGCGGAGCACACGAACTTAACTACTCGGCCACAGGGCCAACCCCTGATTGAAATCTTAAAATCATAAAAGGTGCGGGTGGAATATATGTGAGGTTTATTTACCAAAGCTTTGAAATGAAATTTAGGCTAACTACTAGTAACTGCAGCTGGAACAAGGGGAGTATGTTGGACAAGTAAAAAGAAGTACAGTGGTAGAGTATAAAGTAGAAGGAGGCGCCATTTCCCCATAGAGGTCGTTCAGGCTGAAAAGAAAGAATACGTAGGATTACACTGTTCTAAATTCAAAAGGATAGGTTACTAAGAATTAAGAAGGGAAACTAGGCATGTTTGAGAATCAGTGTCTGGCCCACTACTGTCCAATAGAACTTTCTGCAGTGATGGAAATCTGTATCTCCACTGTCCAGTATAGTTACTAATCACATGTGGTTTTGAGCATATGAGATGAACTGAGGAACTGAATTTTAAATTTTGCTTAATTTTAATGCATTTAAATTTAAACAACCACATGTAGGTAGTATTGAACACTGCTTTTAGTCTTTTGAAGTTGATGGAGAAGACAGACATGTCCTGGTGCAAGTCACTGTTAACCATTCTCAAATAGAACCTTGAACGGGAGAAAGTAAATTCATGAATCTGATCCAGTAGCATAGTCTTTGTGTTCTTGGTAATTGATAGATTTCATCTTATCAAGGCATTTATAATCTCAGGTACAATGATAGAGGGATAGAACATGTGTTTATAATATGTAAGATACCTACCTACCTACATACATACATACATACATATATATATATATTTCCCCATTGTATATTATGTTACTTTGTAACTCTGGCAAGGGACGGGGATTCAGAAGATAAGCCAGTGTGTGTGTGAATTATCTTAAGTCAGTTCAAAAGTCATGGGGGGATATGCTTTATGGATCTTGAGAGAAAGAGAAATTGCTGTAAATGTAGACTACTAATAAGATTCAAAAATAGAAGTAGAAAGAGAGTCAAGTTTAACTTAGCTAGGCTAGACCTTGGGGAAGAAACTGGGGAAAAGAGGTCAGGGAGATCACAAATCTGTGTTTAATTCAAAGGATTTTGGAGAGATTTGACAGGTTCTGAAAGTGTTGATTGTAGTGGTGAGTAGAAGAGAGTGGCTAAGAGAGGAAGAAGAGAGATGCTGTAACAGGTATAGTGCTATATTCTTGGTGGTGCAACAGTGATCAACAGATACTAATTTGGCATCTGTGGCATACCAAGTTTAGCAGTGAACCATGGCCCCTGCCTACATGGACCTTAGGTGTTATTGTTGGAGTCGGGGGAAGAACACGCATTAAATACTTACCATTGGTTCAATATGTCTAGAGTGTTGCAAAGTACATTTGTGGGATGTAAGACTTATCATGGAAGTGAGGGGTCAGGGAGGACTCAGGAGTAACACTAACGGAAGTGACATTAAAGCCGCAGCTTGAATATGGGGAGAGGCGGGCTGGGGTGGGGTGCTGTTTTCTTCCGCTGTGATGCGTCATTGAAGAAATACAGTTTAGGGGCCGGCCCCGTGGCCGAGTGATTAAGTTCGTGTGCTTCGCCTTCGGTGGCCCAGGGTTTCACCGGTTCGCATCCTGGGCGTGGACATGGCACCGATCATCAGGCCACATTGAGGCGGCATCCTACATGCCACAACTAGGAGGACCCACAACTAGAAGTATACAACTATGTACGGGGGGGATTGGGGGAGGAAAAAGCAGGGGGAAAAAAATACAGTTTATATCTTGGCTAAGCACAATCCCAGTGTAACCATTGCCATGCACGCATAACTGAAACAAAAATGTCATGGTATTTTTATTAGGTGCCATGCACTCCATTTTTTATCCTGTGTTGTTAAAAATGCTAGCTGAGACACAATAAATGGATTTTGCACCCCATTGAGGGATTATGATCAGCACTTTGAAAAAAACTGCTCCGAAGCATTTTGGACAGAGGGAGCAGCTTGTATAAAGCGCACACTAGGTGAGGGCCCTTGAATTTGTATCTGAAAAAGGAAGATCCAGAAGCTACTCTGGAAACTGGGTGACATGTTATCAGGAAGAAAAGAAGTTAGAGATAATGGAGTAATAAGAAGATGGAACAGGCTGACTAGCCTTGTAAAAAGCCAGAAGGTACAGTGTTTTCCTGTTTAATCTTATGTAGAGGCGAGACATCCCTGAGGAAAGCATAGAGCTTCAGCATCCTGAAAACAGACGTGAAACTCCAGTCCCGAGGGAAGTGTGTCTGCGATTACTCTAGTCCCACGTGCACTAAAATAGCCCTGCGTGTTGGGCTTCCTCATCAGCTTTCTTTTGAAAACCACTGTTCTAGCCCTTGTCAGCCTTCCGCAAAATCTATTTTAGAATTTGAGATTATTTTCAGCAGAGATTGTAATAGTGTTACATTCACTCTTATTCTAAGACAATAGTCTATTAGAGAAAATACTTAGCTCTTTGAGTCAAAATACATCACAATTTTTATAACACATTTATGTGAAATTAAAAAAAGATGCACCCATGGATCTACCACCTGGACAAACGATACTTTTTATTTCTCCTTATTCCTTTGAAGCCTTGATCTTTTCTAAAGTTTTCTAAAGTTATAATCAGTGTATGGTATATAACAGTTTTTGCTTCAAACTTTTTTCACTTTTAATTTCTCATAAACACCTTTCCAGGTTTTCCATAGCATTCGTCTATCATTATTAATAACTTCCTTTATAATATATTATGTTGAAGTACTACACTGTTTTTAAATACATCTTCATTATTGGGCTTTTGTTCTCAGTTTCTGTTATTAAAAATAATTCTATTCTGTATACCTTTGTCATTTAACTTATTTTAATGTTTTATAAATTCTTCAATTTAAACATAACTGTTAATATGCATTGCTAAATTTCCTCCTATAAGGGTGAGCTAATTTGCACTTCAAAAGAGTCAGTCCCATGAATGTACCTTTTACCTTATATACCTTCTCAGGCATTGGGGTTTGTAATAACTTAATTTTTTCTAGTTAAAGATATGCCTCATTTTCTAAGTTTAAGTTTCTTCATTATTGATAAATATGTTTCCTTATTTTTTATGCTACTTACATTTTCATGTATGGATAGAGTCCCCCCCCTCCATATTTTTTGCACACTTAGTGATTGTTAACTGTTTATTTAAGATCAGGGTTCTTTCCATTTTTCCTCACTATGTAATGAAAAAAAATATGAGTTAGTTTTGTCTTAGAAATAAACCTCTGTTTGTGAGATGCTTTTTGCTTTAAAAAGTTACCTTTAGCCTCATGGTCTTTGTCTACCAGAATCTTATGTTTTGATGTGTTACCAGTATCACTTCTCACATTTGTCCTTAACTAGCTGCTGCAGTACAAAATATGATCTTGTACTAGATGAGCAGGCAGAAGATTCAAAATCAAGTCACTCCCATACAAGTAAAAAACACAAGAAGAAAACCCGTCACTGCTCTGAAGAAAAAGAAGATGAAGACTACGTGCCAATCAAAAATACTAACCAGGTACTTCTAACGTCCAGCCTTAGCTGTGGAGGAATAAATATGTTATCCCTTTGTCAGTTACACCTCAGCAGTGTAATTTAGGGGGTAAGGTAGAGTTCTGAAGAGGGGTGGTGTGTTCCTAACTCTAAAACATGAGTGCTTTCACTGAGGTAATGAACTTTAATTTTCAAGAATGTGTATCAAATTGTAAAAGATTCTTTTTGAAATAACTTCATATATCATAAAGTTCCACATTGTGAAGCAAGAGTGATTTCCATACCTGTAGACAGTCACTTATTCCCATCAAAAACAAGTGTGGTTTTACTGAAAAAGTTCTTCTCGTTTATCATTTTACTTTATCACCAAGTGTTATGTACAGCACTTACAGCTCTTGAGGTTTTAAGACCTGTAAAACATTTATGCCTTCCATATTGTATATATGAAATAAAAACAGCACTCATAATTAACTTGATCATCCCGAAAGCTTTCCTGAACAATACATTTTCTAAGACAATGATAATAAAAATTCCCCAAAGAAAGTTGATTATAAAGAGAAGAAATCATTTCCAGCCTGCATTTTGGTTCTCAGTTAAATGCAAAGCAGGTTGCATTACAGCCCTTTGCTTTTTTGTTTTCCCACATGAGGACGTTTGAGCTGGGCCCTGCTGAATGCGGAGGATGTCAGTAGGCAGGGGTGAGAAGGAACTCAGGACGAGCATGTCAAGCAGAGACACAGATGGAGAGTATATAGCTGTACCAGTTTTCTCGTCTTTCTAATAGAACAGCATCCGTATTTAAGATTTCAGTGGGCCGAAATTTTTCCTATTACTCTGATTTTTATCCTTTTGATTTCATTCTCAAAAATAGAATCATTAAATGGAATTTTCAGCACTAGGTAATTTTCAGGTGTAGCTCAAATTTTCCTATTTCTTGGTATTTTGCTTAGTGAGCATAGTTTCCTAAGAACGTTTTAACTTATTTCTTCAAGTTCGTTGTTTCTTATTGAGTGACAGCCTTACTGTTCAATTCGAAAACTTCTCTGTTTAGTTTTTCCACCTCATGTCTTAATTCCAAAGATGGTTACTATGTTGTTGAGGTTTGGGTTTTACTGAGGTTACAGGAAATGAGTGCTCAGCTGTGGGTTGCCTGGCTGAGAAGCACTCGTACTGATTGTCAGTAATCCTCTGTGGTTTTCATGGGTGTTTAGTATTCTTATAATTTGAGACTCTCTTTTTGCTGTCATTTTAATCATTTAATGTTATTTGAGTGATTTAGATTTAACTAAATCTTTGATTTAGTCCCAGAGGCCTGAGCAAGGATAGCTTCTAGTTAGATTAGACTTTTTTTTGAGTGCTTTGTATGAAATCATTGGCTAGGTTAGGTTCATTGCTTTCAATTGGCTATTTCATGGTGTCTTTTTTCTTTCCTTTTTAGCCACATGCTAGTTTAATCATCTTATGTCTTACATGTGTAAAATGATAGAATTTTTAAGAGTTCATACTGGGAAGGACTGAGAGCTCATCTGATTCATTTCTTTCACCTTTGATATGAAGTTGTCCTGACCCCACAGGCCTGTGGGCTTTATAGTTTAGTGGGAGAGCTGGAACTTTAACGTTTATTTTGATTCAGTCAGGTGTGTGTTTTCTTTCCCCATTATTCTATACCACCTCCCTTTTGATTTTATGTGTCAAGTTACTCATCAACTAAATAATTATCTCCAGCCTGTGTAGGTTTCCTGAGTCTCAGTTTCCTTATTTTTAGAATGAGGATAGTTTTGTACTCCAGCAGCGCTCAGCACTGTGCTCGCACGTCCTCAGAGGCTCTCTTCTCCTATGGCTCAGTCCAGCCCCCTGAACTTTCCTCCTCCGTGCACACAGGGCTACTTCTTCCTGCTTTTCAGTTTTCACTTACGCTCCTCGCATTAGCCTTCTTACAGCTAATCCAAACCCAAAGCCACTCATTCTTTGAGGCTCACCTCAAGTCCTGACTTCTCTATGAAACCTTCCCTGATCGATCCAACCTCAAGAGTATTTCTTATTTGACACGTCTCCTAAAGGACAAAGACCATTTGAACCTAGAGCTGCCCAACTTCAAAGCTTGTGTAGCTTTGAAAACTACTCCAAGTAGGAGAGATTTTAAGGTTTCAGTCTATTTCAGATTTTCAGCTTCCTCAGTATTTTCAAAGAATTACGTTCTGCATAACCCTTTTATCTCTCTTATTTCAAACACTCAAGCACTCAAGTGCCTATTTGTATAGTAATGTGCTGAAGATTTTATAGAGTTACACATCAGCTAACAGTCTCTCCATTTTAAAAGTTTATTAAATGTGCTGGAGATTTTATAGAGTTATACATCAGCCTACAATCATTTTATGAGTTTATTATCTCAACTAATACAGAAATGAGTACTAGGTGTATAGACAGAATAGTGCATGGATATTTACATTTTGTGTATGTTCTAGGATGCACAAAAAATTCTTTTATCTAGGGATGTCATATTTTGCCAGAAAATAGTAAAGGGTTAAACTAAAATACTACTTTTTCTACGTCTAGGACTCTTATAGAATGACAAGAACTATTGGGATTGTGTGGGAAATCATGAGTCAGTTTATAATGTTGTATTCCACAAATACTGTGATTATAACGGTCATGTTGTATCTGTTTTCACATACTGCAGTCTCTGCCAGCTATGATGTATAGTAGCTAGACAGTATATGGAACAATTACCAATCATTTGCTTCAAACCCAGTCCTTAACCATGGGTATCCATCACTCTGGATTTTAAACCTTGACATTTACATCTACTATAATAATGTCTGTGGTGGTAGAGTTGGAGCCTTGGGAGTTGAGTCCTTAGGATTTTGTCTTTCCTCTGAGAAATCTTTTAAGAAAGTTGAACTTTATAAACTATCTCTTGAAAGAGCGTTAGCTCTGGTCTCCTTAGATTTTAGCCACTTGCTGAGATAGTCATTTTAATTAGGGATAGGACATGGGCAGAAATAGAATTGTTGTACCTAGCCCTCTTCTATGTGGGAAAATTACTACAGCTATTTAATTATTAAGAATGAAATTAAATGTACCCACTTTATTGTCTTTGGGGCAGTGGATTATTCCAGTGTTTCATAACTAGTTTTTAAGAAATATATAATTATTTAAGTAAAAACATATGTCAGCCTAAAGAAAGAAAATCTATTTGAAGATTTGGAGACGAGCTGTTATAAAATAAAACCTTTAAAAATTGTCGCTCAGACAAAAGTCTGCAGTTTGTGTTTTCTTTTCTTTTTAGACTAATTGAAATGTCTAAGACCTCTTTCAGCTATGTTATTTAAGTGATGTCTTTATAGGATTCTTACGGGACTTTTAGTAGTTTCATTGCAGCTCAGTGATGGGACCATAGTTTGGGGGCTCTGGAGAGGGGGGAGGTGGAAAGGTGACCACATACCACCAGAATTCTTAGTATTGCCATTTTTCTCTAAAGACTTGTTCTCATCTGCTTTGGGCTATTTTAGTTCCTTGTTTGGGGGTCTGATCTTCAGTTCAGCTGAAATAATAGATACAAAGCAGTGAGATTGATAAGAAAAATGCTTAAACCTTTTTCTGAATTATTTTTGCTTTGTAATTTATGAGATTCTTGGCGTTAGTGGTAGTGTTCAAATTTGAGCTGTTTCGACTGCTTGCTAATGGTGGACTAAGTTTTATTAATTGACAGGTGCCCACAAAATGATGATTTTACCAATTCACTTGTAACTCTCCATTCCTTTGACAGGATATCTACAGGGAGATGGGGTTTGGTCACTATGAAGAAGAAGAAAGCTGTTGGGAGAAACAAAAGAGTGAAAAGAGGGACCGACCTCAAAACCGAAGTCGTAGCCGATCTCGAGAAAGGGATGGTCACTATAGTAATAGTCACAAATCTAAATACCAGACTGATCCGTATGAACGAGAAAGGAGTAAGAAGAGAGACCGAAGCAGGAGTCCCAAGAAATCCAAAGATAAAGAAAAATCTAAGTACAGATGAACGATGAAGAATCAGACATGCGTGGCTAACAGATTCACCCTTGTCTGATTTAGAGTACCAGAAGTTCAGAGTTTGTGTCAAAGCAGTCAAAGACTCTGCTTGTTATTTTTTTCACACTAGGATTCTGGCCTTTTTAGATTAATATTGATTGTATAGGGAGCAGAAAGACAATAAAGAATCGAACATTTTCTTTGTATACTTTTTTATGCTAATTTTATTGTTATACATAAACAGTAGTCTTCATTTTTAAAGTCTTTCACATTTTCCACTCTTCTTTTTTTAAATGAAGTATTTCATAGCTACGAAAATATACAAATGTGTATATAAGGTATAAAGAAGAAGAACTGTCTGTGCATCCATCATCCAGCTTAGGAAATGAATGTTCCCTGCCTTTTAGAAGTCCCCCATGTGCCCTCTCCTTCTCAAGTAATTATTATTATGAATTTTGTGTTTGTTATTCTCTTGTTTATTGTAGTTTTACAACGTATGTGTGTATCCCTAAATGAAATGTTAAGTTTTGTATGTTTTGAATTTTATATAAATGATGTAAGGTATGTTTACCTCTATGACTTACTTTTTTCAACTTAGTATTTTTTGAGACTCACTCATTTTTATTGCTCTGTAGTTTTGTGAATAGACCGCAGTTTATCTGTTGCTCTGCTGATGGACTTGGGGGTTTATTTGTTTTATTTTTGCTGTTGCAAACGATGCTGCTGTGAACATTCTGTATCTAGGAGTGATGTGCTTGGTCCTGTGGTGTGGACATCTTCATCTTTACCAGGTACAGCCAAATTATAGTCTACGCTTTATACGCCTCCTGGCACTGTGTGGTTACCTCTGTTTCCCATCATCTCCAACACTTCTTAATTTTAGACTTTTTAATTTTGACAGTCTAGTGGATGTTAAGTGGTATTTTATTGTGGTTTCCAGCAAGAGGACTGCTATTATTCTTATCTTTATTCTTCTAAATGTGTTCTTTTTCTCTGGCTGCTTTTAAGGTTTTCTCTTTATCACTGCCTTTAAGCAATTTGATTATAATGTTTATGGTGTAGTTTTTTTCATGTTTCTTCTGCTGGGGCTGATTACCCGTGATTATGTGGTTTTCATCAAATCTGGAAAATTTTTGCCTAACATTTTTTCTGTCTCTCCTTTCCTCTCCCTCCTTTCCCTCTGGGACTCCAACTGGATGTTAGGCCACTTGAAATTGTCTCACAGCATGCTGATGCTCTGTTTGTTTTTTTAAGTCTCTTTTTCTCTCTGTGTTCCAAATGGGATAGTTTCCATTGCTATGTCCTCAAGTTCATTAATCCTTTGTCCTGAGGTATCTAATCTCCTGTTAATCCCGTCCAGGGTATTTTTCACCTCAGGCATTATGTTTTTAATCTTTAGACTTTCCATTTGGGTGTTTTCAATATCTTCCATGTCTTTCCTTACCATGCTCACACTTTTCTCTATTTTTTTGAACACCTGGAGTATATTTATAGTAGCTGTTTTAATGTGCTTGACTGTTCGGTCATCTGTGTCATTTTTGGTTTGTTTCTGTTGATTGACTTTTTTCCCCTCGTTATTGGGTTGTAATTTCCTTCTTTGCGTGTCTGGTAATTTTTAGATTTTACATTCTTGGGTGCTGGAGTTTCTTCTGTTCCTTTAAATATGTTGAGCTTTGTTCTGGGACATGATTAAGTTACTTGGAAGCGGTTTGATCCTTTCATAGCTTGCTTTTAAGCTTAATGAGATAGGACCAGAACAGCCTTTAATTGGGGCTCATTTGGCCCACTACTGAGGTAATGCCCTCTGAATAATCTTCCCTGTGTCTGGTCTGTTGTGAGATTTCTCCACTCTGGCTGTTGGGAAGACGTCTTCTGAGCCCTATGTGAACTCCCAAATTGTCCCGCCTGTTCCTTTCTGGTGGTTCTTTCTCACTCTTGGGCTGTCTCCTCATGTGCATACACTGATTGGTATTTAGCTGACGACCTGGGGAACCCTGTGTAGATCTGGAACTCTTCCTCTGTGGCTCCCTCCTCGCTAGTACTCTGCCCTGTGGGTTTTACCGTGGCTCCCTCAGCTCTCTACACAGGGAGACTCCCAGGCTCTTTGGATTCATGTCCCTGTCCTAGTGCTACAGCCTGGAAACTGCACAGAGAGCTCGGGCAGCTGTAGGACTCTCCTTTGTTTTCCTTCTCTCAAGAGGCGCTGTCTTGCACTGGCTGTTGGCCAATGTCTGAAAAACTTTGTTGTGTGTCTTTTGTACAGGTGTTCAGTTGTTCAAGACGGGGAAGGTGGATCCTGCCTGTGTCACTCCATTTGGGCCAGAGTGGCAGTCCCATTGTTTGAATTTCCTAAATGCTAAGAAGATTGAGCATCTTTTCATATGCATTGTATTCATTCTTGAATGCTCTCTGTGAAAAGTTTGTTTCCTGTCTTTTGCCCATTTTATATTGTCTTTTTCTTACAGATATCTTTAAGGAGTTGTTTTATAGATTGTGAATGTCAGTCTGTTTTTACTATTAGATGTTGCAGACATCTCTTGGTTTATGGCTGTTTTTTCACCTTTCTGTTGATGACCTTGGAAGAGCACAAGTTTTAAATCCTCCCTTCCCTTTTTTTTTTTTTTGAGGAGGATTAGCCCTGAGCTAACATCTGCTGCCAGTCCTCCTCTTTTTGCTGAGGAAGACTGGCCCTGAGCTCACATCCGTGCCCATCTTCCTCAACTTTATATGTGGGACGCCTACCACACCATGGCTTGCTAAGCAGTGCCATGTCTACACCCAGGATCTGAACCAGCGAACCCCAGCCTGCCAAAGAGGAAAGTGTGCACTTAACTGCTGCACCACCAGGCCAGCCCCTCCCTCAACTTTTTAATATGAAAATTTTCATACATATGTAGAAACACACAAAAACATAACCAACATCCGTATACACTCCATCCAGATTTAACAGTTAATAACAGTTTGTTGAAAAATTTGAAAGTAAATTGGAAACATCATTTCACCTTTCAATATTTTACCATGCATTTCCTAAAAAGCAAATGTCCTATATAACCACAATACTATTATCACACTTAAGAAAATTAACAATAATTCCATAATATGTAATATATAGTCTATATTCAAATTTCCCTGATTGTCCTAATAATGTCATTTTTAGGTGTTGATTTGTTTTTAAACCCAGACTCAATCAAGGTACATGCATTGTCTGTTGTTTTTTCATTTTATTCTCTTAATCTAGAAGAGTTTTCTACCCATCCATCCACCTCCACCCCCCTTTTTTTGTGACATTGACTTTTGAAGCGTTCAGGTCAGTTGCTTTGTAGAATGTTCCACATTCTGGAATTATTTGATGGTATCTTCATGGTATCCTCCAGCCTCTCTGTTTCCTGTGAACGGGAAGCTAGGTCTAGACCATTGATTAGAATTAGATTATGCATTTTAGCCAGACATTTTTAAATTTAATGTCGAATTTATTAGCCTTTCCCTTTGCGTTTTGTGCTTTTTGTATTTTGTTTAAGAAATGCTTAATAAAGATATTCTCCTATATTCTAAAAGCTATAAATAAAGCTTTGTTTTTTAGATTTAAATCTTTAATCCGTATTCAGATGTATGTGTGTATGTATGTGTGTATGTATATGTGTATGATATAAAATCATCTCAACTTTATATTTCCTTTGTGAGAAAACTTAACTAATGATTAGATTTTCAGTGACTATAGAATTATTAGTCTTTCTGGTTCTCTTGAGTGTTTAGTCATTTTGTTATTACATTTTTCTTGGAATTTGTCATTTTAATTGAAGTTTGTTAATTTATTGACGTGAAGTTGCTCATAGAATATCTAGTACGTCTCTTACTGTCCTCTTAATTCTGTCTTACTCAGTGCTTAGGCTTTAGTGTGTCTCAGAAACAGCATCTAGTATAATGGATTATTTTCAATCCTAACTTTGATGGTTTAGTGCTGATTGTTTACTGATCTATTTGGATTTATTCCTGCCGTTTTATTTTGTGCTTTTTGTTTTGTTTTGTTCCCCCTCATTTTCTTTTGAATCAACTCAAAACATTTTTTAAAAATTCTACTCCACCATCTTTTTTGTTTTGGGGAATTGGCTTTGAATTTTACCGTCCATACTTACAATGCAGTGTCGGTATCTTCACTTTCCTCTCTAATTGAAGGTCTCGGAAACCTTTAGGTGTAAGTCACCCCCTTCCAACTTTTGTGCTGTAATCTTCCAATGTTTTAGTCTTAGCTTGTGATTTTTAACCTTATAACTTAGACTTTATTGTCATTATCGTTTTTATACGGTAATTGTTTAGATTTACCCACGCGTTAACCAGTTTCTGTACTCACCGTCCTTCTTGTACCTTGGATCTTCCACCTACGATAATTCTTCTTCCTGAAACGTGACCTTTGATGTTCCTTTAGTGACAGTCTGTTCAGGGTAAATCCTTAGTTTTTGTTTATCAAAAATGTTTTTAATTCACCCATGTTTTTTAAAGTTGGTTTTCTATGTATGCCATTCTAAGGTGACAGTCATTTTTCCTCAACACTTGGAAGCTGTTCCATCTTTTGACTTTGGTTACTGCCATGGAGAAGTCTATTGTCAATCCAGATGTCATTCCTTTGCAGGTAATGTATCTTTTCTTTTTGGTTGTTTTTTTGTTGTTGTTTCTGTTTTTTAGTATAAATAGGCTTTATTGAAGTTTATTGAGGTACTGAGACAGAAGATGTGTCCACATAAGCACAAGTTGTAACATTTCATAGTTCTGAAAGGAATGTCAACAGTTACAAAGACCATGCATGCCATGGGTTATAGTCACATTTTAGAAGAGTTTTCAACCATTTCTAAAGACATGCTTGTAACATTGTTGTGGTTTTTGTTGTTACACTTTTAATTTTGAAGATAATTGTAAATTCACATGCAATTGTAAGAAATAAGCAGAGAGAGCCCGTGTACCCTTTGCCCAGTTTGTCCCAGTGGTAACATCTTGTAGAACTGTAGCACAGTATCACAACCAGGATAGTGACACTGACACAGTGAGGACACAGAGCAGTCCCATCGCTACAAGTTGCACACGCACTTCCCTGCCTCTCCTGTTCCCTCCTAGTCTCTGGCGGCCAATTAATCTGGTCTCCATTTCTATAATGTTGTCATTTAAAGAATTTTATATGGATGGAAATACATAATATGTAGCCTTTTGAGATTGGCTTTTTTGTCACTCAGCTTGATTCTCTGGAGATTTTTCCAGGTTGTTACTCGTATCAATAGTTCATTTGTTTTTTTGTTTGTTTTTTGGGGATTTTTAAAGATTTTATTTTTCCTTTTTCTCCCCAAAGCCCCCAGTACATAGTTGTGTAGTTTTAGCTGTAGGTCCTTCTAGTTGTGGCATGTGGGATGTCACCTCAGTATGGCTTGCTGAGTGGTGCCATGAGTGGCCCGGGATCTGAACCAGTGAAACCCTGGGCCACTGACGCAGAGCGTGCGAACTTAACCATTTGGCCATGGGGCCGGCCTCAGTTCATTTGCTTCTATGGCTGAGTAGTATTTCATGGTATGAGCGTAGCACAGTTTAACTGTTCATCCATTGAAGGACACCTGGGTTGTTCAAGTTTGGGGCTAGCATGCATAAAGCAGCTACTGACTTTTGTGTGAACATACATCTTAATTTCTCTTGGTTAAATGCCCAGGAGTATAATTACTGAGTCAAATGATAATTGCATGTTTAGATTTTTAAGAATCTGCCAGACTGTGTTCCAGAGTGGTCATAATGTTTTACCTTCCCACCAGCAATGAATGAGTGATCCAGTTTCTCCACGTCCTTGCCAGTATGGTGTTTTCACTATGCTTTGTTGTGATAGATGTAGAGTGGTATCTCACTGTGGTTTTAATTTCCTCTATGCTAATTGTTAATGATGTTGAACATCTTTTCATGTCTTCATTTTGCCATCTTCATATCCTGTTTGGTAAAATGTCTCTTCATGTTCTTTGCCCATTTCTAATTGGATTTTTTTGTTTTTACTTTTGAGGTTTTTTTTTTTTAAAGATTTTATTTTATTTTTTTCCTTTTTCCTCCCCAAAGACCTCCAGTACATAGTTGTGTATTTTTAGTTGTAGGTCCCTCTAGTTGTGGTATGTGGGACGCCGCCTCAGCATGGCCTGATGAGCGGTGCCATGTCCATGCCCGGGATTTGAACCGGCGAAACCCTGGGCTGCCAAAGCCGAGTGCACGAACTTAACCACTCAGCCACGGGGCTGGCCCCCTTTACTTTTGAGTTTTGAGAGTTCTTTATATATTCTAGATACTAGTTCTTTGCTGGATATATTGTTTGCAAATATTTTCTGCCAGTGTGTAGCTTGTCTTTTCTTCTTCTTAACTGGGTCTTTGCAGGGCAAAAGATTTTACGAAAGTTCACTTCCTTTTATGGACCAAGCTTTTGGGGTCAAAAGTAAGAACACTTTGTCTAGTCCTAGATCCTGAAGTTTTTCTCCTACTTTTCTTTTTCGAAACTTTTTCTAAAAGTTTCGTAGTTTTCCATTTCAGGCTGTGATCCATTTTGAGTTACTTTTTGAGTAAGATGTGATACATAGGTCAAGGTTCTTTTTTTTTTTTTTTCGCTTATGGACATCACTTGCTCTCACACCATTTGTTGAAAAGGCTCTAGCTGCTTTTAAGTTTTCTTAGTCTTTGGTGTTCTAGCATTGTTCTATGATGTATCTAAATATGGGTTTATTTCTCTTTCTTGGTATATCATTTCCTATGTCGACAGCCTCATATTTTTCGTTATTCTAGAACTTTCTCTACCATTTTCGCTTCAAATATTGCCTCTCCCCTATCCATTTTATTCTTTCCTTTTGCAGTCCTGATCAGTTTTATGTTAGGCCTCCCTCTTTATTCTGTTCTTTGTGTCTTCACTCTCCTGTTTTCCATATGGTGCATTCTGAATAATTCCTTCAGGTCTGTAGTCCAAGTCACCATTCTTTCTTTCTTCATATAAGCCCAATTTACTATTTAACCCATCCACTGAGTTTTTAATTTCAGTGATTCATTTTTAGCAGTTCTCTTTGATTCTTTTTCAAATTTATTTGGTTATTTTGATTTTCTTTTGTTCCTTGCTCATTTATTTCCACTCAATTTACATGGTTACTTTATGCAGTCATGCATCGCTGAACGACAGGGCTACATTCTGAGAAATGTTTTGTTAGGCGATTTTGTCATTGTGCAAAAATCACAGAATGCACTTACACAAACCTAGATCATATAGCCTACTACACATCTAGGCTGCATGGTACTAGTCTTATGGGACCGCTGTCGTACCTGTGGTCCATCGTTGACCAATACATCCTTATGTGGCACATGACTGTATTGTATTTTTTTTTTTTTTAAAGATTTATTTTTTCCTTTTTCTCCCCAAAGCCCCCCCCTCCGGCACATAGTTGTATATTCTTCGTTGTGGGTCCTTCCAGTTGTGGCATGTGGGACGCTGCCTCAGCGTGGTCTGATGAGTAGTGCCATGTCCGCGCCCAGGATTCGAACCAATGAAACACTGGGCCGCCTGCAGCGGAGCGCGCGAACTTAACCACTCGGCCACGGGGCCAGCCCCGACTGTATTGTATTTTTAACAATTAAAATACCTTAATTCCTTTAGAATTAAAATCTTTAAATTTTTTTCTGCTAACTCTCGTGCATGGTGGCTTTTCTTCTTGTGTGTTTCTGATTTTTTTTTTTAATTGGGAATATATAATTTGGGACTCCTAAGGTACCTAAATTGAGGAGGCTTTTCTCCGAAGAGGATTTGTATTTGCCTTTCAGCTCCAGGTGGTGCTATCACTTGTGGCTACTTTGGTTTCTTGGCCGGGAGTTTCCATGTGCATGCACAGTGTACTTCTGAATCATAGGCCACAGTGAGGGTTAACAAGATATCGGGGGCACAAGTCTGTTAGTAAGTGGCCGTCTCCATTGCAGGCTGGGAAGATGCCCGCAGATGTGTTTTTCTAACCTCGTCTTTCTCTGATGGTGAGCGCTTATAGTCTCCTAGCTTCATGGGAAATCTTAGATTCAGCTTCCCAACTCTCAGGCTCAAAGTCTAGTCTTGAGCAACACCTCTTGTCACTGTGGCCTGAGACCCTCAGTCTGCAAAGCTTTATATTCAGGGCTGGTGGTTTGTTTACCATTTTATTAATGCATTGTTGGGTCTTGAGGAATTTCCCTAACTGTCTTGCAGTCTCATCAGTGCATAAAGTCATCGAACGTGTCTCTCAGTCATAAAGTAGTGACTGCTGTTATCTACCTGTCATGTGGATGTTTTACAGGGAGCCGGGTGGGGGATGGGAATGGTCACAATTCAGAATATCCAGTCCACCATACTGCTAAGAGCAGATGTCTCTCTACTGTTGTGCATAATTCTTAGCCATCCACAGGAAAAATTGTAATGGCATAAGAAACTCTCGCCCTGAACATAGACAAACAAGTATTGTCCATACAGATGATTCTAAAACGTGGTCTGAAAGAATGAATGAGCAAGAGAGAAATGATGGTTGAATGTGATAGGAATAATGAGAAGAAATTACCTACTGATAACAAACTTGAATGCAGTAGGTTCAGCGGGAAAAATAGAAGTCGTAGAAAGTTCTGAACCTAGCATTTCAAGGAAAAGATATCCTTAATTGCAAAAGCTGATATTTTAGGTATGAGAGACTGTAGTTTTAACAAAGGTGTGTGAATGGAAGCATGAGTTCTGTTAATCAGAAAGTCATCTTAAAGGCAGTGACCTCTGGTCACAGTGTCCCTCAAGTGTCTTTGACTAGATCCAGGGCGGCCGTGGGGCTCTTACTGACATCTAGGGTAAATGGCCCTGTTTCCTGTGTCTTCTGTTTCGCTTCTCTGGGTTTTAGGTGACCTCTGAAAACCAGGCTCCAGTAATATGTCCTACCCACTTTTGCTCAAACTGAAAAATATTGAGTGAGCTGTAGATAGGTATTTTTGTATTAAAAGGAAAAGAATAGTTATTTTGAGACTAAAATTGCTCATTCATTATAACTTTATTTTAAAGTCTCAGGCGGACCTCTCTTACCAGTTGAATTTTCAAAGAGTTCGATCAGAACTCTTAAAGGCTCAAAGTAGAGAACTTTTAATAGATCCATACTTGTACTAATGTCTTTTAATAAATTGGTTACTTTTTACTTACTGAAAGATATATTTCATATCCGTGTTTTTCACTCCTCATAAAAACATTTTAATCTCCAGTTTGACATTTCTTACCCATCTAGATTGAGTCACAAAGAATGAATCATAGACAGTAAAATCGAAATCACTCCCCTTTCAGTAGTTGTTGCTATGAAACCGTGTTTTGATGGGAAATTTCAGAGAAGCTTTTGCTTCCTGTTGTTAAATGATAGAATATGGAGATCCCCTTAATTTTCAGAATTGCCTTTTTTTTAAAGCAAGTGATCTCAAGTATTCTTTCTAATGGGGCAATCTTTATTCTTCCCCTATCTCGCTCATATAGGACCACTAATTAGGTTGAATTTTGTGTTTGCCTCCTGTGCTATTCCTTGTGCATTGAATGGGCAGATGGGCAGTTTTTGAGAGATGTTTTTTGTGCAATTAAGAAGTTGTATTGCTGTTATTTATTTTGCCTAGGATACTAGGAATCTCGAGACTGATAAAGGATTGCAAATGCTGTAACATACTAGCAAGAGGGCTTGTGTAAAAAGAGAAGTTACAGAAATGCTGCTTTGTTGTCGTGAAACCAGAGCAAGACCGCAATGACCTCTGGTTCCTGAAAAAGGGAAAATTTTGTTTTGTTGCCTCCAAAGGCAGTTTGGTCTGGTGGGGAGAGCTTGGGATTCCTAGTCGGAAAACTCAAGTCAAGAACACAGGCAAGATATAGACGGGAGAGCAACATGATGGTCCAAGTAGAGCAGAGGACTATGAAGAGTAACGGGCATTGAAAGGGAGGAGCAAATGAGGAGAGGAGAGCGCTGGATGCAAAACCGAGGGGCTTGGATTTGATGTGCCAGGCAGCAGAAAGTTAGAACATATTCCTAAGAAGGAAGTGGCACTGGAGTAGTTGAGAAAAGTTACTCTGGGAGTTGTGTGTAAGATCTTCACCAAGGGTAGGCACCAAAGTCTTCAGATGGCATTGCATGCAATTCATTCAATACCTGTTGCACACGCAGCCCCAAATCCAGACTTACATTGAAGTAGGCTTCCTAGAGGAGATGATGTATAAGCCGAAACCTGCCCTTGATATCCACCTTGGTGCAGTCTAGAACAGAGAATGAGTATCACAACACTAAAAATTTTAAAAAGTCACATCATCCTTGCTACATAATCCCTCATTTGACATTACTGAAAATAACTCAAGTACCTTTGGAAAGGCCATGGATGGACATGCTTTTAGTAAAACTTTGATATGGTGTAGGTTCGGAATGGAGACCAGACCACCTGGTTACAGGTGCTCACCTTGTACTGTGTTGGTGGGACGTATGGCACAGGGCCAGCCTGGAATCATGCTGAGAGCAGGCTCCTTGTCTGATTCATCTTTGCACATTGGGCAGGCAGGAGGGTACCAGCCTCCCAAATTCTGCAATCTCAGCAGATGACAGTATTGTAGTTTTAACTTTATCATAAATGTTTCTTACGTTGATAATTATCTACCACTCATTCTCTGAAAACAAATCAAAGGCACACATTTGTGGCCTTTTCCCCTAGCATATGCTTATGGGAAATAATGTGATGGGCCTCAGCGTCAAACCTGCTTCATCTTCAGGTCTGTCCTAGACGTCTTGGTGCTGTCCAGCCTCCCGCATGTGTATATCTACAGCCCCACGCTGTTATCAAGTGCAGACAGCTGCTTCTTGGTCTGCCGCCCGACCCCCAGGCCACGGACTCCCTCTGTGGCTCCTCTTCCTGTCTTCTCATGCTGTAGTAGAGTGCGCTTAGCTGAGCAAATGCTTACCACAACTACGAGCTCTGAGGGGAGAAGGTTTCGGGGTTGGGAGGTATGTCAGTTTCCTAGGGCTGCCCTTAGAAATGACCACAAACTGGGGAGCTTAAAACAGCGGAAATTTGTCTCACAATTCTGGAGGCCGGAAGTCCAAAATCAACGTGGCGGCAGGGCCGGACCCTCACAGGCACAGGGAAGAATCCTCCCTAGCCTCTTCTGAGCTTCTGGGGTGTCCTGGGCCTACAGCTGCGTCACTGCAGTCGGCCTCCCCGTGCCTGGCCTTCTTCCCTTTGGCTCCTCGCTGTCTCTGTATCCACATCTTTCTCTCCTTTCTCGCATGAAGACACCAGTATTGGATTCAGGGCCCACCTGAAAACAATATGACAGCATCTTAGCTTGATTACACATGCAAAGACCCTATTTCCAAAAAAGGTCACCTTCACAGATACAGGAAGTTAGGACGTGAGCATGTCTTTTTGGAGGGCACAATTCAACCCACTACAAGGGGGAGGTGTTTGCAAAGTTCAAGAAAAGTCTCTGCAGCACTTTGGCCAGAGGCCAGCAGAGATGCTGTTGAAAGAATACTGAGTTGGGCCTTAGAGCCCCAGTTTCTAGACATAGGGTGTTGCACGTGCTCAACAGTGACACTTCGAATCCTCTGTCGTTAGCCCAGGAGTAGGCGCTTTACGTGATCATCACTCGTTCTTTGCCCTCAGCCTGGGTTCCTCTACCTGTTTCCCATAGCCCTCACGCCTTTAATTCATAGTCTTTCTTCCTAGCCACGGCTAGAGTGTTAGACCATCCTCTGTCTCCCTCGGGGCCTTTCGTGAGAGAACTGCAGACTCCAGAGAAGGTGGGTTCCCCCGAGTCAACTCCATAAGAGCTGTGTGTTGCAGCAGCTTCAGGGAGATTTTCCAAAATGCCCATGTATTTCGGTTATATGGACGGAACCTTACTATGTGAGTAGAGAATGTCTCCAGGAGCAAACACAAGGGCATCTGAGCCCTGGATTAGCAACTCAGATGCTGAACAATAGGGCAACAAATTCAGCAGCCAAGCTTGGAGAGAGAATAGAGCAAGTTGGAGGGTGCCCACTTTTCTTACCGTTAATTGATTGGAGAGTCTGAGATTCTTCAAAAGTTAGACACCTTTGGAAGGCCAGGCCCGTCCCTTGACTGGGGCCAGTTCATCAGCCTGGAGCACACTGAGACAGTGGGTTTTCCCAACCAGGTAGCTTCCTGGTGGCCCAGAAACAGAAATTGTTTTGTTTAAACAAACACCAGCCTGTGTGTGAAAGAAATATTAATGAATGATTCAATTAATTCTACTTTTAAAATGAAAATGCTTCTTTAAAAAAAGCTTTTTAAGTTTTTCCTGAGCTAATTTCACCTTGAGGTGGTGTCCCAGCCATGTGGACCATGTCACGCATCCGTGTGCCTCTGAATCTGTGCCTAGATTTTCCCTCCACCTGGAACGTCCCCGAGCCCCAGACTTCTCCTGGAACATGCCAACCTGTCCTCCAAAGTCAGCTGAGCCACCATTGCCTTCACAAGACCTCCCCTTCCTCTCACACAGAGTCGGTCCTTCCTCTTTGATGGAACCTCTAGTCTGGCGGTCCTCAATCGGGGACACTTGACAAGGTCTGGGAACATTTTTAGTTGTCACATTGTGGGGAGTTGTGCTACTGGTATCTAGTGAGTAGAGACCAGCGATGCTGCTGACCATCCTACTTTGCCCAGGACAGCTCCACAGCAAAGAATCGTCTGGCCCCAAATGTCAATAGAGCCGAGGTTAGGAAGCCCTGTGTCAGTCTCACATTTACTGTGTGGCTGTAACTTTGTTTATAATCATATCTCCACTCACTCAGGGGCAGAAACTTCATTCAGTTGGTGCTTATGTTCTCAGCCCAATACCTGGTGTGAAATGAAATTGAAATGTACTTGACATAGTTTTTATTGCCTTAATCCCTGTAGCTTTCTAAGACGGCGTCTCAGGTGGAACTCAGAGGAAGCGACACATAGATTTTGTTTAACAAACTAAAATTGTTATTTTAAATTAGATAATTGGGCTAAGCCAATAGCAACTGTGGTTTGATTATTGACTAGGCCAATATAACAGTGACAACTACTTCCCCACTTGCTTCTCTGTGTATCATGGGTGCACACATTCCTATCGATGACCGAGAGGGTTGTTTGGCTTGTCTCTAGAGCCCTCTTTTTCATTGTTTCCTGGGTGCTAGACTTTCCACAATAAATTTTAGTAATCTTGTCTTCATTTAAGTTTGTGCTTGTAATAATAATAGCCGTCTAATATATGCCAAGCCCTGATCAAAGCACCTTATATGCAGTGATTAATTTAATTTTCATAATCTCCTTATGAGATAGAGATGATTATTATCCCCATTTTACATAGGACACTGGGGCCCAGAGAGGTTAAATAATTTGCTCAAGGTTGCACAGCTAATAAGTGGTATGGCAGACTGAACTTGAGTTATGACACCAAACTCCCTATCATAATAAGCTTAGATCTTTTCTCATACCATTCATTAAAATAAATTCCAGATGATGATTAAAGACCATAGTATAAAAAATAAAAACAACTTTAGGGAAAATATGGGAAAAGATCTTTACGATTTCAGGATGGGCAAGCGTTTCTTAAACAAGATTCAAAAAGCACAAATGATGAAGGAAAAACCAATAGTTTTGATGACACAAATGTAAAAACATTTGCAGGCCCCAAAATGTCATAAACCAAGCTAAAAGACAAGTGTTAGACTGGGAGCAGGTAGTACAAAACATAAAGGATTAGTATGAAGAATATATAAAGATTAATACTGATCAATAAGAAAAAGACTACACATAGGGAAATGGACTGTGGAGGAAACAAGGAGGAAAACTGTGCAGAAAATAAACATGAAAAGATCCTCAAGTTCACCAGTAATCAGGGCAATGAAAGTTACAATCCCTAGGAGAATTGATATACAATTTCTCACGCATGGGCTTGGCAAAAAGCAAAATGTGTCGCACACATGAATGTTGGTGAGGAGACAGGAACAAGCACTCCCACCAGCTGCTGGTGCAAGAATCAGTGGAAAGCAACTGAGCTGCCCCTTCGCGTGTCCACACCACACTACAAATGCCAACACTGTTTTAGCTCACTGAGAACACAGATTATTCAATAGAAGTCTGTTGTTGGTGCTCACTGATGCTGTAGATGGAGGGGAGGCAGCCAAGCCAGGGGGCTGATGTGGGTCCACCCACGGGCTTCCAGGGCTCCATGAACCACTGAGACAGGAGCATGTGTCATCCGTCTCCACGTCTGTGCATTCCTCCCTGGGGAGGGTCTGGTCTCACATGTTTAGGTTCCACTGTTTCTACACCTCCAGGCCGCTTCCTGAAAACCCAGACCTCTGTCCCACCACAAGGGCCAGTGTGGGCAAGAATAGCCTCCGGGCAGATGCGACGCCAGTTTTAAACAGAGTGGAAGAGGGAAATGTGCAGGCCTGCGGTCCCTCTCTTTTCTCAGTACTCGATTGTTTTTTAGAGATGTGTGGACGTGTGCCAATTTCACAGCAAGCTGGGAGCTGCTGCCTTCTCCCAAGTCTCGTAGGTGGAGTCCAGCTTTGGGTCAGTGATAGTGTAACTACAGTTGTTACCTCTGGCAGACCTTACTTCTTGTTCAATTGGGAATAAATAGCTAACTAGGGCTTTCGTTCTTCCTGGTCCTGAGTCATAGCAGCTCAGTCAGTTTAGCTGAGGAGGAATCAGGATGAGGTTTCTCTCAACCAGATACTGTACAGGCACCACATGAGGGTTCTTTTCTTTGGGAGACAGCTGGGGAACAGTTTTTCTGGTCTAAATAATGTCTCTAAGATTTCAGACACAGAATTCTGGGGCCTCTGTCAAATCCTTACTTCTCTGATAGTTGAGCAGATTCAAACGCCTTTTTTGTGAAACAGCTTGGTGCTGGCCACCGAGGTCCTGTCCTGCACACAGGAGGTGCTAGTCGCCTGGGGCTGAACCCAAGGTGTAAGTTTAGCTAAGATTCATTGCTCAGGTTCGTCGTATGTTAGGTGCACAGCGTGGTGGCCCTCGGCAGTCTCCTCAGAGAATTCCTCCCTTGGTTGGGTGCTATTCTAGACCTAAAAAAATTGTGGCTCAGTCATCTAGTGTTTGGAAGAGATGGTCCAAAGAGCCGGTTGGCAGTCTGTCCCTCTGAGCTCTGTTGCTTTATTCTTCTAGGCCATCAGGGCACAAGGCTCCTGGACAACGTTGGCTCATTTCCCCGCAGAAACCCTCCCCTGAGTTCAGGTGTAACAACTCACTTTTTACTGAGGCTCCTGGTGAAGAAGGGACATTGGAAAACGCCCCCCACCTCCGGCCCATCTTCTATGGGACTAGAGCTGAAGATATTGTCTGCTATATTACTCAACAGAGGATTTAGATTTCTCCTAAAATTTAATACTGGGAAAATATTTCTGTCTCCTAAAAACCTGACATGCTTTATTAGAAATTTGAGAGCTGAGAGGCCCCATGTGACCACGGAAAGAGTGTATTTTGGAGCCCCATGGCCCTGAGTTTCAGTCCTGACTCGACCAGTTACTGAGTGAGCTTGGACAGTATGGTTATCTTTTCTCAACCCTAATGAGCTCATCTCAAAAATGAGATAATATTTCCTATACCATAGACCTGTTATGGGGATCAGAACACCTTGACTGAAAGTACTGGATATACGGGAGGTGCTAAACCGATAGTCATTTTTATTAGAAAATTGGTTGTGCCAGGAAACTCAGAGCTGGAATTAGTGCTCTGATGAGGTGACCATTTTAATCTAGCTTCCAGCACAACATTCTTTTTTCTTCTAATGACTTCTGATTGTACTTCTAATGTTTATTTCAATGATCCCATTCTCTATGTGTTTTGATATTCTAGACTGCCTCCAATTTTCTGTGGGAGACAGATGGGGAATAAAGAAGAGGAGGAAATTCCAGTTAACTTGTATCTTTCTTATTTCCTCAGCACCAACTGCCAGATTCTAAACCAGCCTGACCAGCTGGCTCGCTGCGTGTCCTTGGGTACGTCGCTGTAGAGACACTGTCGTTTGTTGGGACGTGGGCTGCTATGTGGTTTGACTGTTCTTTCCTCTTCTTCTGACCCGAGAGGGATCCCCCAATGCAGGAAATCAGTGCAGAGTTTGGGGACTGTTGTCCATACTCGCTGAGGCTGGCAGCAGGTGGGCGGCAGAAGGCTGTGGTCAGTGGATCTAGGGTCAGGCTCTCTCTGCCACAGGGAGGGAGAAGCAGCCACCAACCCCACGCAGGGCTGCAGCAAGGAGAGCCCAGGGTCATGTTATCCCCAACAGAGGCGAGTGTCCTGGCTCCCCAGCCTGAAGACCTTTGTGACTTGCTTGGGACTCTTTGTAATGGGAGGTACAGGGTTCTCCTCCACTCCCACGCCCCTGTGCAGCCATTTCTGTTCGCTCCCTCCTCCTGAGGCTCTTCTCTCCTGCAGGCTGTGTTTTTGTTTACAAAGTTGGGAGCATCCCCTTAGGAGCATCTGGGGTCAGATGCTCTTCTCGGCTGGCGGCATGAGGGGGAACTTGGGACAGAGGCTTTCTCCCGGATGGTTAATGCTTTCTCTCTCTCTGACTCTCTCTGGCTTTCCTGTGCAGCCAGCCCTCGCCTTCGCGGAGAGGTCGTTTTGCATGTGGTTGTTGAACTTTGATTCGGTGACTCACGCTGAGGCATAGGCTTCAAGTCTCCCACCCTCAGTTGATTGCTTCTTCCTTTCCATTTTTTCAAACCCGAAGCAAAACTACCTTTGCAGCCAAACGTGACTCTGGCATCCAGGAAGTGGAGCGCTGGCATGAAGTGGCTCCTAACGGCCGTGTGGCCAGCCCCAGCTGCGCTCCCTGGCTTTGGTGACACCTGGCTGGCTGGGAGGAGAGCCGTGTGACAGCTGCGGGCAGCCAGGGAGCTGAAGGGAGTCCTGATATCCACTGTGAAGGCCTGAGGCACACGCCCTGCTGGTGAGTGCATGTCCCCTGGTCATTAGTCAGTGTGACAAACACTGTGGAGACTCGGTCCAGGGGTGGGAGGAGAGAGACAGAATATACGGGGGTGGGGGCAGGTCAGGGAGCATTGTGGGATGAGTGGTATCTTGAGCAACCTGATCTCCCACACCTTAAATTATTCGAAGTGCTCAGATAAAAAAAAAAAATTAGGTAAGCATCTTTAATTTCCTTTAGGTGAAATCCTTGCTCGTTTTAGCAATGTATTTAATTTCAAGATGGTTTTTGTGGGAGAAGGGTTAAGCAGAGGAAGCACTTCAGTTTAAGTAAAAACTCCTGCTGGGGTCTTTGAAGGTCATTTAGTTTCATGAAATCAGAAGGATCAGGCCCGTGAGGCTCATTTTAAACCTGTCTCCACACTCCTGAAAGCACCTTCTGGACTCGATGTTGATGTGGGGGCGTCTGGTTTCCTGGCAGATCAGGGACATTTGGCAGCCCCCCCCAAACACCATCTCTTCTAGAGGCTGGCTCTGTGGGCTTCCAGAAGGTCTATGGGGACATGGAAATCAGTCTTAATCTGATGGCAGTGAAGGCAATTTTGGCAAACTCCCTGCAGCCATTAGAAACCTCCGCCATGCCCCCGAGGGGATGAACTCCCCCCCAAGGCCAGGCGATACCCGCCCGGCCGTGCCAACACTGACATGGGAATAGGGTGGGAGTGGGATACGGCAGACCGTTTTGTTTGTTCCCAACTTTGTTTCACAGTTGCCTGGGATCTGGGCTGTAAATACTTGTATGTGTACCCAAACTAATACATAGCAGGACAGAGCCGGGGACCAGTTCCAAGGAGAAACAAAAGGCCAGGCCAGGCCACCCATGCTCACAGCAACACTGTTCACAACAGCCAAAAGGTGGCAGCAATTCAAGTGTCCGTGGACGTGAATGGATGAACAGAATGTGGTGTATACACCCAATGGAATATTAGTTATTCAGCCTCGCAAAGGAAGGAAGTTCTGACACAGGCCACAGCATGGATGAATCTTGGAGATATTACGCCAGGTGAAATAAGCCAGTCACAAAAGGACAAATACTGTATGATTCCACTTATGTGAGGTCCCTAGAGGAGTCAAATTCTTAGTGACAGAAAGTAGAAAGGTGGTTGTGGGGGGCTGGGGGGTGGGGGCGGGGGAGTGAGTGTTTAATGGGGACAGAGTTTCAGTTTTACAAAATGAAAAAGTTGTGGAAATGGAAGGTGTCAGTGGTTGCTTAATGCTGTTGAACTGCACTCTTAAAAATAGTTCAAATGGTAAATTTTGTTATATTTTACCACAACTTTAGAAATTATAATTCCCTTGAAGAAAAAAAAAGGGCCCGCCAAAAACACAGTCTTCGTGGGCCGAAGCCCTTGCCCCTCAGTGACTTCCCCAAAACCTAACTGTCAGCCCGGCTGAGGCGCTCCAGACCCGAGCTGAAGCAGGGCACTTCTGCACGGACGCTGTTTGGAAGAACTTCCTCCCCATCTCGCTGGGTGACCTCTGGCAGCTGTAACGTGCTGGATTGCTCTGGAGTTGGCAGAGATGACCCAGAACAGATGAGGGGGTCAGGGGCAAGGTGTGGAATGCTCTCGATCGGTGGCCCTGGGTAGCAGCCTCTGGCCTGGGCAACCTCAGGAATCGCCGCCCTTGGGAGTCTAGTCTCTCCCATTCATTAGCTGTGGGCTCCTGGGTAAGTCAGCAAAACCTCTCTTTTCCTCTGTTTTTTCACCTGCAACGTGAGTAATGAGGGAACCCTTTCCACCTCCCAGAGACGTTGGGATTTCCAAAGATGATGTACAAGGAAGCGCCTTACAACCACAGAATCCTGTGTGCTGTGAGCTACTCGGTCTCGCCACATCTTATCCGTCTTACCTTCTCCTCCTTCAGTTTCTCTTATTCTTTTCCTCAGGGGCTCTTCCAGTCAGGGGTTACAGATCTTTTGCCTGGGGGCCCTCAGCCTGGATTGGCTGATTCTAGAAGGACCAGGTCTGATCTGATCCCACCGTTCCATCTGTGAGGTCCGCCTTTCCTCCCCCCTTCCTTCCACGCTGTTGCGTTAGGCTCCCTCCAACTCTGGTTCAACCTGCACACATCTCCAGGTCGCCTTGACTACTAACCATAGCAGAGTGTTGCAATGCTGACCATGGTCAGAGCTCGTGCCGAGACGCTCAAGATTTCAAAGTGTTACTAGTCATCTGTGCTGTTTGTGACTTCCAGTCAAGATTGAGGAAGAAAACTGAAATTGTTCATACTTTCAGGTCTTAAAAATAGAAAGGAAAAAAAAGCTGCTGGCAGTGTTGCAGCTCGAAGGCCTCACATCTGAAAGGGAGGGTTGTGACCTGGGGGCCGGGGGAGGCTCCTGAGAACAGCTCCGCACCCCAGCTTTCTCCCTTATTTAGAACTTTTAAAAGGAAATGAAGTTCATTTTAAAGTCTCAAGGGGGGAAAAATAGCCTGTGAAGTAGGTGAATTCTTTCAGTTAATTTTGTGTAAAAACAGCTCTCCTGTCCCACGCGTAAGCTTTCAGAAGTCTCCTCAGAAAAGGAGCTCTGTCGGAACTTGAGGCTTCTGTGGACACCCGCAGGGGATGGGGGACAGGGCCTCACGCGCCCCCGCGCTCCCTCACCCCAGGTAAGGGCCCCAGGTTGTTTCATTTTGAAAATGTTCACGTTTCTGTCACACCAGGACGCAAAGTTACAAAACAACACAGACTCTCCCTGTAGCTGTTACTTTGTGACCAGAGAAGTCACCTGACCCAGTCGTGTTTTGGTTTTTCCATTCCTGCAATAACAGGACATGGCCTCCGTCCTGAACACAACTCAAGGCAGCACAGTATTTTTGGCGTCCGCTTATCGTCATTTACTAGCTGTATAGCCCTCACTCTGAGCCTTGGTTTCTTCACCTGTGAAGAGAGAATACTTTTATCGACCCTGTCTACCCACCAGTGAGGATAGGAGCTTCCGGTAAGAGTCTCCGGATGAACGATGTGGAAACAATGAAGGGCCCACGTGAACACGGACTCTGTGGTCATGTTGCCTGTGACTGTCTTTCTTCTCCTTCCTTCTCTCTCACTTTAGTTCCCTCTCTTTTCTTTCTCCCACTCCTCCTATCTCTTCCCTTCCCTCTCTTTCTTCCAAACCAAAATAAGTGCCACATAAGTGCGCACATAAGCAGGGAGGGGTGGAGGGGGAGTGGAGCTGGGCCCTCACGACTGGGAAGGCTTCTCGGAAGATGTGACAGTGGGGGTAGGCCTGGTGGAGGAGGGGTAGATGCTTCAGGCAGAGAGAGGAGCCCCCGTGAAGGCCTGCAGATCTTTTGGGGACAGCGAGCAACACCTGGTGTGAGGCTGGCCTGTCAGGCCGCGTAGGTGTCCTCTTCCTCCAAGAAGATTGGACCAAAGCTGGATCTCAGCGCGAGGGGACGACTGTCCTGAGAGAGAAGGCCTGGTCACTAGTCAAGGAGTAGAAGGTGGGGCTGGACTAGAGGCACGTGGCCAGTGAGACTGGAAGGTGGGCCAGGCCCAATGGTTAAAGGCTTTGACTCTCATACTGGAAAGTTGTGACACTTACTCTGCATGGGATGGAGGGACGTGGAAGTCTTTGATCAGTGGACTAACTTGATTAGAGTTGTTGGGGAGGAAATGCGGTGAGGAGGCCCCCAGGAGGCCCCGGGAGAGGTGCCGCCACCCTTCGGCCGCTTGCCCAGGTCTCTGAGGGCCTTTCTGGCCTCTCCTTCCCCCTCAGAGGAAGATAAGTCACTCCTCACCTGTGTTTTGAAAGCACGTTTTTCTAATCAAAAGTACTGTGTTTATCATCATGATTTATGGCTTGTTGTTCACATATTTTGGTCTGTGTTCCTGAATAGGTTGTGAAAGAATTGAAATTGGACTGTGTATTGTTTTGTTTTTTTTAACAGAAGTGAGTCCCAGCACAGTGCCTGGTGGCCAGTAGGTCACCAGTAAGTATTTGCCACACAAGTGAATGAATGAATGAATGAATGAACTAGGGTGGTGGTTGTGTGAGTGCAAAGGGGAGAGTGGTTATGGAAAATGTCCAGAGGGTAGAATTAATGACTAATTCGATGAAGAAGTGAGGGAAAGGGAGGCATCAAAGATGACTTTGCGATTCCTTCCTTGGGCCCTGGGGGATGCCGTTCAATGAGACTGGGAACCTGAGAAAAATGTTAGAGGAGGGAAGATAGTTTCAACTTTGGGTGTTAATTAAAGAAAAACCTATTCAAGTCCTCACATACATCAGGCTCTCTGCTAGGTGCTGGTGATTCCGAGGCAAACAGGTTGGAATGTAGTTCGCAGTTTCTTGAGAAATGGATAAGTGACTATTCAAATGCGTCATGACAGAGGTGTGAACAAAGTGCCGGTGGATGCCGTGACCAAGCTCCTGCTTATAGCTGTGGAGTCGGGGATGACTGCCTTGAGTGGCATTTGAGTTGAATCTTGAAGTTTAGCAAACAAAACAGAACACTACAGGTAGAGAGGAAAGGGTATGTGCACAGTGATAGAATGTTCTGGAATGCCTGGGGAGCCGGGAGAGATTCGGCATGGCTCTAGAAGAAGGGCCGGGAGGGCCTGGGATGGGCGGTGAGGTGGACAGAGGTCAGCTGCATTGTGACAGTTCAGCAGCCTGCTCAGGAATTTGGTCTCGTTCTTGTAGTTAACACAGGGTCAGAGGATATTTCTAAGTGAGGGGTGACATAGTACAACTTGTTCTGGAAATGCAACGCTGGCTACAAATGGGGGCTGGGCCCGATGAGATTGAGGAAGGAGATTCCTTAGGAGCCTGTTGCATTGTTACTACGTGTAGGATGAAGAAGGCGGGACTGGGGCTGGCCCCGTGGCGCGGCGGTTAAGTGGGCACATTCCGCTTCAGCGGCCTGGGCCTCACCAGTTCAGATCCCGGGTGCGGACATGGCACTGGTTGGCAAGCCATGCTGTGGTAGGCGTCCCACATATAAAGTAGAGGAAGATGGGCACGGATGTTAGCTCAGGGCCAGTCCTCCTCGGCAAAAAGAGGAGGATTGGCAGCAGTTAGCTCAGGGCTCATCTTCCTTAAAAAAAAGAAAAGAAGAATGTAGGACTGATGCTTGGGTGGGCAAGTGGGTAGTAGGTGATGAGTGTGAGAGGGGTCAGCCTAAGGGGGTGGAAAGACACCAGGCCTCTGTCCTGGGGCCCTGGGTGACACGTCTATAGGCCACATACTCGGAACCATCTACCTGGAAATACCTATTGGAGAGCTCTGGATTTAAGAAGAAACTTCTTGGTTTCAGAACCTCTTTTCACACTTAGAAACTGTTAAGGACCCCAAAGAGCTTTTGCTCATGTAGGTTGTATCTATCGGTATGTATCTTATTAGAAACTAACACTATGAAATTTAAAAATATTCATTTATTTTTAAATGATAATAAGCCAATTATGTTAATATACATGATATATTTTTATGAAAAACATATCCATTTTCAAAACCAAAAAATGTGTAAGAAGACTGGCACCGATTTACATTTTTACAAATCTTTTTAATATCTGGCTTAATAGAGGACAGCTGGATTCTCGTATCTGCTTCTGCATTTTGCAATATCACGTGGCACGTGGTCTCTGGAATACTTCATGGTATACTCGTGAGAGGAAGAGAGTGAAAAAAAAGCACATTACGCCTTAGTATTATTATGAAAATAGGTTTTACCTTGCAGACTCCCTGAAAGGGTCTTGGGGCTCCCCCAAGTTTCCCTGGACCACACTTTGAGAACCACTGAAGTCGACTCAGCAAATTTCTGGTGAATGACAGCATCTGAGTTCCCATAGCCCTTTATTCAAACAGCTTGCGTGGTGTTCATCCCATGGTTATAACTGTGGGCCGGTGCTTAGCAAATGGTCTGAGCCGGAAGTACACTTGTGGGCTCATGGATACAAGAGCTGGTGGAGGGCGTGAGCAGGAGGGAAGATGGCCCAGGCGGGACCCCATCATTGAACAAAGGAGCAGAGACTAAGGAAAGAGCTGGAAAGACTTAGGAGGAGACTCAGGCCAAGCTGGACAACCTAAGGGAGAATAGAGTTTCAAGAAAGAGGTGATCCAAAATTTTTTGATTGAAAATAACAAGTAAGGGAGTGGTCCACAGTGTTGAAAGCAGCAGAGAGGTTGTATAAGGCGAGGAATGTGGAGATGCTGTTGGATTTGGCAGTTAGGAGGTCACTGGGAGTTTTGGTGTTTCTGCAGGCAGTGGGCCGAGGTGGAGTGGGGGGTGACAAGTGGGGGCTGCAGCAGAGGCCTGTCTCCCTAGAGGGTTGGCTGAGAAATGCCCTTCACCTGCCAGACCCAGTCATTGTTAGTTCTGTTCGGGTGCCAGCACTGTGGAGAGAGGCCCTGCAAGAGAATGGGAAGCCAAGCTGGGAAGCAAGAAGAGAGATGTAAATACTGCAGAAGATTCCAGTAGGAGACTAGGATCTGAAGATAAAGAACCTGTGATAGTGAGAAGGGCCAGAGTGAAGAGACAGGTGTGTAACCAATGTTCGTTGAGCATGATATGTAACAGGGAAAAATGGAAGACAGTCTGAATTTCCATCATCTGGCAAATGGTTAAACAGCACTCATTCATTCAACCAATATGCCTTGAGATTCAGCTGTGCCGGGCACCGTTCTAAAAGCTGGGGATACACTGGGCAGCAGAACAGATAAACTAGTGTGGAAAGATTTCTAAGATGCATTTTTATTAAGAAAAGTCAGTTGCTGAACAATAGATACAGTATGACACTATTTATGTAAAAACAAACCCCCCAAACAATACATGTGTGTATCTATTAGATATGCAAGTGGGTGCATGGAGAAAGCTCTGGAAGGGTGCAAACACTTAGCAATGGAGGCACGTGGGATTTTGGGTACGCATAGAGAGACATTACATCCTTCTATTCTTTACACTTCTGCGTTGTTTCCATTTTTTACAGGAAGTATATTTTCATGATTATTTCTGTAGTTTAAAATGTCTTTTGAAAAATGTAGGTCTTTGTGAGTAGAAAAGAGACAGGGACCCAGGCCGTCCAGGGTGTTCCTGTCGGTTTCATCATCTCTTTGTGAACGTCTGTCAGGCTGCAGCCCCCAGCGCCGCACCCCCCCCCCCCCGCCCCAGCCCCAGGGTGTAGACCAGCCAGTGACGCCCGGCTGGAAAGGATCAAGTCTGGGTTAGGACCTTCTATTTTAGAGGCTCAGTATGGTCTGAATTAATTGCTAGGGAAAGTTGCGCCAGTGCACAGAGCTGAATTTACATCTGAAGGTTGCGCTTCTTGCAATGGAATTCACCGGGGAGCAGTCTTCCCTATTTCAGCCGGGAGCTGTGCTAGTTTCCCAGGGCTGGAACTAGCCAAAACAAAAGACCACAGACTCGGTACTTATTACGTATATTTTTATTTTATTTATTATTGTTGTTGCCTCCCAGTTCTGGAGGCTAGAAGTCTGAGATCGAGGTGCTGGCAGGGTTGGCCTCTCCTTGGCTTGGCGGTGCCGTCTCCTCCCTGTGTCTTCACGTGGTCTCCCCCGTACCCATCTGTGTCCAGACCTCCTCTTCTTATAAAGGACACCGGTCGTATTAGGTCAGAGCCCGCCTCAATGGCCTCATTTTAACTTAGTCACCTCTTTAAAGACCTGGCTCCAAATGCAGTCACATCCTGAGCTTGGGGGTTAGGCTTCAACATATGAGTCTGGGGACACAATTCAGCCCCTGACAGAGCGTCAGAAACATTGTTTTGGGCTGTGCACAAATGTCCCGAATTCTGGGTGGCCTGC